ATTACCAGTGTCTGTCTCAGTACATGCAAGTAGATCATATATGTCTCAGATACTAACCTTTTGGATCATACTGTAGCTGACACAAGGTTATTTTTCCTAGCTGAATCGTTGACTAAAGAATAACATAAAAAAATCTCTCCATTATAAAAGTGCTAAAATTATTTATTACTCAAAAAATATTAGTACATTTAATTTGGGGAAGAAGTGTGCATTGACTTTGGCTCATGACAAAAAGAACTTCCCCTGGTTTATGAGCCTCAGATTACCAAATAACCTTGACAGCTGAATCAGTGTTCCATGACAACAAGCAAGCCATTGATAAATAGCAACAAAACTATTAGACGTTGAATTTATGAGATGAGTAATAGAGAAGCTAAATTATAGGTTTACCATTTGAAAAACTACAGCATGACAAATCTGTGCATGTGTGTGTGTGTGTGTGAATGCATAGAAGGAAAAGAGAGAAATGGAAACTTTTTAAGACAGATAAAATCAACATGCCATGGATATTACAAATGCACAAATATATTACTTTTATCTGAATTAGTTAAATTCACAGTGTCCGTTATGAAATAATAAACAAATCACGTATAAATAATTGAAAAAGCTACCACTTGTGAAGTTGTCTTCCTGGTTTTATTCTCATTTTTACTTTTATGCACTGTGATGTAGGAAAAAAAGGGGAAATTCTGGTAAGTAGTAGATCTTTAAACTGCCTATTGCAAACTAGTAGATTCCATTTAAAGTCAAAACCTGAAGTGTGAAGAGTCACCATCAAAAGCAAGAGTATGTTCTTCTGGAGTTGAAAAACCTCTTTTTGGCCAATGAAAAGTAATTTGCACTTCCTAGGAAAAGAAAAAACAATTATTTTTAATCCTCCTGTAATCAGAATGAAAGGTATCAGAAATCATTTTAAGTAAGGTTGAATCTTGTATCAGAAATAGTGTTGCTAGCAGGGGCAGGGAAGTAATTGTCCCTCTGTACTCAACACTGGTGAGGCCACACCTCCAGTACAGTCTTTTGTTTTGGGCCCCTCACTGCAGGAAAGAATGTGAGGCCCTGAAGTGTGACCAGAGAAGAGCAACTAAGGTGGTAAGGGGTCTGGAACACAAGTCTTATGATGAGTGATTGAGGGAACTGAGATTGTTCAGTATGGAGAAGAGGAGGCTCAAGGGAGAACTTATCACTCTATAACTACTTGAAGGGAGGTTGTAGTAAGCTGGGGGTCTGTCTCTTCTCTCGTGTAACTAGTGATAGGACTAGAGGGAATGGCCTCAAGTTGCATCAGGGGAGATTCAGGGTGGACATTAGGAAATACTATTTCTCTGAAAGAGTGTTCAGGCACTGGAATGGGCTGCCCAGGGAGGTGGTCGAGTCACAGACCATGGAGGTGTTGAGGGACATGATTTAGTGAGAACTATTGATGATAGGTGGATGGTTGGACTGGGTGATCTCATAGGTCTTTTGCAACCTTGATTCTGTGATTCTATCTTATGTAGTCACTTATTTTAAATTATAGGAACTATAGAGGAAATCTGAGTGGCTGTTCATGTACAGAAACAGATATAATAAGAACAAAATAACAGGAAACTTGCTAATATGACTGATTATCTTCCAGCAGATCTGTAGGCTTTCTGTTCTGAGAGTGGTGAAGAAACTTTTGATTTACTGCAGTAAATGGTGAGAGAAAAATTGAAGAAAAAGTTTGTTCAAAACAGATCTTGAAGTTACTTCTTCTTCAGCAAGTTGCTCCATTGCGATCCAAAAGAACACATAGGGGACTGTGGGGGCCTATGAGTAACCTTAAACAAGCTGTTGCTGCTCCTGCCAGACTGTAATAGTTATTGTCAAGTGGGATTCTTGTGCTCTTGTTTCTCAAAGCAGGACTACATGGGCAGGTGGCAGCAGCACTCTAGGGCTCATCTTGTCTGTGAGCTGCAAATGTCTGAGTTTGGCTGTTTTTTCATGGTGAAACACCAATAGGTTGACAGCTAACATTAAGTTCCTAGAAAAGTATTGTAGGTAGTGAGAAAGAATACAGCAATCACCTTACGTTCTGATTATGTTTTTCCTTACCTTGCCTGGAAGATGCACAACAGTCAGACAAGTTACAGGATTAATGCTGAGGAGCTATATGAATTTCTGTGACCTGTGTTAAAGAGGACAGTATACTAGATGAACTAATTGGATCTTCTGTTCTAAAAATCTATTAATTATACTTTTGTAAGAAACAGCTGCAGCTTTGTCAAAGGGGAATTAAACACTGAAAATTCATATTGTCCCAAATACTGTTACAGTAGCTACTGGAGATAATTTGAAGCTTGACAAATAAATGAAGGAGATTCAAAGGCAAACTTAGCGAAGGTTTTGGTTAATAAAGCAATTGTGTGTGAAGGGTATTCAAACATTTGTCATTTATTCATTTTGCCTGAACCAGCATGAATGGTGCTGTCATTCACAAATATTAATTAAGAAACATTTGATTGTTCTTTTTTAGAAACTAATTATGCATATTCATCTGCACTGCATCCATGTCTGATGTCTGTTTTACGGCCATCATTTCTAAAGGAACACTTAAACTCTGTTGTGATTCTGACCTTTAACATGGTGTTCATGTTGTCCTCTATTCTTAAACAGAGAAATAACTGAGAAGTCTTAGTATATTCAACCTCAGATGGTGGTTAATGTCCAGTAATGCTAATGCCCATAGCATTTTAGCTTTCAGAAGATCGTGAATATCTTCTGTGTTTGAGGTGCATATGGTAGAATTGTAACATTCCCCTCAAACTGCAGATCATTGTATTTCCACATCCTTCATGTTTGCAATGATGAATTGCCAAAAAGGTGCTTAGCCAAAAATGGGTATCTTTTTAAACAAAATGCTGAAGTTAGTCATATGCTTTCATCCAAAACAATCAGAACCTGAGCCAATTTAGTGCACATAAGATACCTTGGAAGGATTAATTTATGCTGTAGAGCTTGTAATATGTTTAACCAATAGGAGTTCTCTGCACACATGGATTTTTTTTTTTTTTTAATTATTTTTTCTTTTTGCAAATCTTGCAGCTAAGTCAGTGAGCCAAATGCAAAATCTAGCACCTAAGAGCATCCTGTAGATTTGTAATACACCCTGGGGGTACCTAGGGTTGAGAAACCATTGAGTGGATTACACAGATTCATATAGTTATTTTTTTCATTGCCGACAGACATAATATGAATACTGCATATTATTCATACTGCATAAATTTCTTAGAATACTGTGTATAGGAGAACAATAAAACTACACAATATCACTTACCCAAAAAAGTTATTTTAAAGAGTGAGTTGAAGGTTTGAGCCTCCTTAGTGAGGTACTGCAAATGTAACACCTATACACCATACAGATCAAGTGTATGGTGGACAAATCTTTATTAACTTTCTCTAGAAGCAAATTAACATGCAAGTCAATACTTAGGTCTTGTAGGAGATGAAAGAAATATACCAAATCTGCTAATAATCTTCCTCATTAAAAGTCAGTCATCTCTTCTCATGTCAGTCATGCAAAAGTAAAGTATTTAGACAAGGCCTTTTCCAGGGGATGTTTTTCACAATTTATCCCAAATAACTAGTTCTTAGTGCGATGAATAGCCCTCTGTTGGAACCTCTTTCCAGAGTCTTTACAAAGACCTGAGAAGATACTAAACCAGGCACTTATGGCTGAAGTTAATGAAATGAAACCAGTGCTCAGAACTAACATTGAAAGACTCATACTGAAAAATATTCTGAATATGCAGTGTCTTTCAAATGTGTTATGTTGTTGAACTGCATGCAATGACTAAAATTGAATTCAAGATATGTGGTTAGTTTTTCAGCTTATGTGAGTATGTGGAAAGGTCTGGCTCAAAAAGAAAGGAATGAAAAACATGACTGTATCTAATGTGTGTAGCATTTTTTAGTCTTACACAATACATTTTTGGGTCAAAGTCTCCTTTTTTTCCCCAATATGGCTTTATAATAAACAGGTTTGCCATGTTTCTACCCATAGAGATGACAAGGAAGTTTGTTCTAAAAGATGCACAATGCAGCAACAAATATACCTAAGAAGACACAATCTATAGACCTGGATATAACAAGAAATTGGCATGTTGTCACATTCCAAGACACTGCTGCAATTCTTTTAACACAGGAAGATATGGAGAACTGTATTTAAGAGGGAAGCATTGCACGGCCTGAATGGGGCCTGATGATTGCATCTGATATATAAATCAAAAACAAAATTAGACATTAAAAGTATAAAATTTATTATATTTCTCCACCCCAATTCTGTGTGGACATTTTTAGTTAATATCAAAGATAATAAAATTGAACACTGAGTCACAAAATAACATGCTTATCTTAAACTTGAATGTCAACCAGTTATCAAAAAATGAATGAATTAGACCTTTGTGGTCAAAACTGGTATGAACAAAGAGGGACTGCTGACTGTAGGTTTTGTAATCTAAGGATGGTAGGGAACAACACAGAGTACACAGGTAAATGTACTACTAGTATAAAGACAGTAGGGCTAAAGTATATTGTAATATAACTGGTGGTATGTTTTTCCCATTAGCTGTTTTTTTCTGGGTTATCGGCCCAGCCGACATCTTTGTTCATCACTTCCTGGGTGTATTTATTCTACAGCAGTACTTGGATTACTTAAGATTACTTAAGGTTAAACATGTTGAGTTATCAGTCTTTTAGTTTTGTCTTCCTCTTCATTCCCCTTTCCCCAAAGAGATTTTGGCAGCACTCAAAAAAATAGTAAATTTGTCAGGATCCTGAAAACTTTGAGAACGTGAGCTAAAATTAAATTTCTGCTAAACACAACTTATTGCAGTTGTAGGTGGATTGATATTGTGTCAGTCCTTTCCTGTATACATGAAATGTAAATGAGAGGATGATTGTAGTTTTTTAACCAGTTTACCCCTCACTTCTCTCACTTTTTTTCCCTGTCATTTCCCATTAATCATTGCAGTGCCTACAAATGCTCCATGGCTAAGAGAAAAGCTGAAGAACAGATTTCAGGTGTTCCTGTCAACAAAAGGAAGTCTCTGCTAATGAAGCCTCGCCACTACAGTCCCAGCCTGGAATGCAAAGAGGAAAATGAAGACAGGACAGATTTACAGGAGAATATCAGTGTCCTCGATAGCAATTCAATTCCAGGTAATCATGTAATGAAGCTCCACTCAAACCTGAATTCCACAGAAGGGGAGCTATGAAACACTGTTTTCAAAAAGGATGCAGAATGCGTTTGGCTTGTAATGGAGTTGGAATAGTGCATTTCTATCTAGCTTTAACCATCCAATTATTTTGTACAAACTCCTCCTGGGGTCTAGTAAATGCTTTGTAGGTCACACAGAGAGACAACTACTACAGCAGGTCAGATATGGAGCAGCATCTGCTTCTCCACTAGCTCTGTCAAAGAACAAGGTTAAGCCCACCACAGATAAAAACACATTTATGAAGAGCAGATTTTCATCGGAATATATAGAGCTCTTAGGAAAAAAAAAAAATGCTTAGCAAAATGTTGTTGACTTTAGCATTTAGCAAAGCAATTTCATGTATGTGACGGCTACGTGTGTTCTGATTAACACAATTATTAGAGTCAGCACTTTTATACTTGTTATTTAAACTCTTCTAAGTCAGACATGTCTGACAATTTATTGAAACTTCTACAGTGTGTATGCTGCAAAATATAGAAGAGCATGGGGATACAGAAATATAAAGATATAATTTTTCTTTATGTCTCTTTCTTTCTAATATATTTATATATATATATATTCAAGATGAACAATTAACATCAATCTAAATTGGCTGTTGCATATCTGTTTAAATAATACTGCACAAGTTGATAATCAGGGAAGTGAGGAGAAATCAGTGGAGTATGTGCTGCATTGTTTTAAAGGGAAGAGTCATCATTAGATGGCGACCATAAAGATGAAAAGAAAGGGATCTGGCACTGGGAAATTAGTAATCATAGCTACTATGAAAACAGAATACAAAATGAACTTATATTCTACTTGGTTGTTTGTTACTACAGATGTTTAATGGTAATTTACTTTCTTCTCCCATTACTAAGTTTCTTGTACAAACTTTTAAAATATTTTGGAAGGAATCAGAGAAATGAGATTAAGAATTTAGATCTTTATTCACTCTAAATAGAATTTTTTAAGAGGAAAATAACTCTCCCAAATATTCTACATATGACAGCTACATATAGAGTCAAATCCTTGTTCTACTTAAATCAGTGGAGAATTCTGTCTTGTTTCTGAACTCACTGAAGGGAAAGTATTTTGATGATTAAATAGGTATAACATGTGCCATATGCAGATGAACATAACTTATTTAACTTTTTTTTTTTTTTTTCAAAAAAAGTGCAAGTGTTGAGCCAGACCATTGACATAAATGTAGTAGAACCTTATTTGCACCCAGTCATTCAGTTATGAGAAACAAACTGATTTCAAAAAGGTGAATTTGATACTTATTAGACTTCTTGCAATTGCTTTTGCCATTGATAATGTAATATATATCTTTTGAATTCACCTTACTAAAGTATCTATGAAAAACCTTCAGCTAGAACATAAGACTGATTGAATATTTCTTAGAGTAATATTGCTAATTTTATTGTGAACTTTTCATACTTGTTGCTTCACCTGTTAATGTTTCAGTTCATGCACTGAGGCCACTGCAAACTAAGCTGAGTTCTGATTATTTTAAAATGAAATTTGCGGTCTATAGAGCGAAAAGCAAAGCTGAGATATCTGAATCATTAAAACCAGTTAAACAACACATTTTTTAACATTGCATTTGTAAAATTCCTCATTTCAGTATTGATCATGATGGCTTAAGAAGCAATCACCTAAGTTGTGATGCCTTGTATTGCTTTTCATCTTTAATCAGAAAAATAATTGAAAATACCTACTACTATTATCAAACCTTTTTATTTTTATTTTTATTTCTGAAGAGTGGGCAGAACGAATTTCTTACTTTTTGAAATGACATTTTGATGTTAATGTTTCATTTTCCAAATGGCAGAAGAGCAAATAATAAAACGCATTTGACTAAAGTTTGTTACAGAGCCAAATGATCACTCTTACTTGCTGAGGTGTGAAGACAACAGACTTCTTTATTCTGAATACTGCAATGTGTGGGGTACCAGAACAGCTGCTAAAAAGTTACGCTAAGGATCACAGACATTTTTTTAAAACACAACTTCACACACACAGTGCACAAGGCCACCTCTCCCTGCGTGAGCCCAATTTTCCGAAGAATAATAAGAATTAATCAATATTTTCTTTTAACATATAACAAACAGTTGAACCAAACAATTATGTAAACTGGAAATGACCCAAAATGCTAACAGTTTGGCAGCAGTAAAGTGAAATGCATTGTGGTGCACATGTGCATTTTTGTCCCCCTTTTCCCCTCCACAATAATCTGCACTTAATAGGAATATTTTAAACTATGTAGCTAAGCAACAGAGGTAATTGTTGCTTTCTAGAGCTTTTGTTAGGCACTCTAACACAGCCCAAATATGCATAATTAGGTATAATGTCTATAAATCATTATTGTACACATGTGGGTAGTTAAGTGGATTGAGAGAATAGTTCAATGAATTGGACATATTCACTGAAAATGCTTTTTATTTGTTTTCTGTAGTTCATAATACTTTAAAATTATCATAACCCTTTACACTTTCTCTTAATAGCTCACTGTGTTATGGAGAGAAACTTCATTTGCATTTTAGACTATACCTAATTTATTATTTAAACCTGGAGTTCTTCTGATTCAGGAGAGAACAGACACATCTTGGGAAATAGTCTGTGCTTGTTTATTCATCCTCCTTTCTAGGAAGTAAAATGTTAAATTTTTCAGTTTATGTTGAATAGATCCCAACAAAAGAATGTACCCTATAATCAGCATTATTGAAGGGGCTAGTGTTGTGACTAAATTCTTCCCTTCATCCAAAAATGCTTTTAGTTACTATGGCAATATTTACTTGATCCTGGCAAACCAGTGTTGATTTTAGAGAGATAATTACCAGAAAGGAAGATGATGGAGATGTATTTTTGAGTGTCCTTGTCAGAGGAAATGTTTATAAAAAAATTAAATGAGATACAAAAGGCATATTGTCTTCCACACCGTCCACCTCTCCTACATGCAGCCTCTGTTACCATCTGCCTGCTGCTTTTCTTCTGAAGAAAGATGTTTATAAAGACAGGATGCACTTCAGTGGTGTCTTTAACAAGCCCTTTATGAGTCTGTACATAACAACCATTTCTGTTTGCCTGTATGACCTGATCTATCACTTAATGTGGCAATTGCAGTGGTGACCAGGAGCTTGCCCTTAGTGAAGTGTGTATGTTTTTTTCCTTCAAGGTCTTTCATGCTCAAAAAGTAATTAGGGTCTATTTTGAGAAAATATTTAGGAATCTTAGATGAAAGGAAAATGAAAATGGTTTTTAGAGGAATTTTTGAATGTGTGTGTTTGTATATGTTTCTGTGTATATGATATAGATTTTGCTTATATAGTATCTATGTGCATTATACTTGTGGAAATATATGTGAAGGTGTATGTTGTAAGACAGTATATTTCTTTACCAACAGCAAAAAATAGCAATAATGAAACAATAATATCAGGCAGATACAATTTTAGAAGGGCTTTTCCTGGTGTTTCCTGCTACAAGTAGTCATTTCAAATACAGCATTGGTGAATTAAATAATTTAAGGGTACCTTTGAGTGAAGAAATGAAAATTTTTAATATCTTCGTATCTCTTCTAAAAGATATAAAAAGTTTTTCTTACATGTTTTTCTCTTGTCCTTTTCTTATGCAGAGGAAAGAATTGCAAAACCATGTGAGGAAACACCTCATTCAGGTGGGCAAGAAAATTCTAGTCAAAGAAAAGATAACTACACCAGTTACCAAGATGCCATGGCCAAATCTTTGATGAACAGTGGAAAAATTGCAAACGATGCACCCAGTCAAGCAGTGGCAGAAAATCTAAATGACAGTGGCATTCAATCCTTAAAAACAGAAAGTGATGACACTGATGAATGTTACATGATTGACTCAGCTGAAGGAAAGGAAAAGACTGTTATTTCTGACCCAAAATATTGTTCATCTGAGGAAAATGAAAGTAACTCTGAAATGATGGATAATGAGTGGGACAGCTCCTCAAGTTTTTCAGAAGAAACTAGTGTAAAGCCCCATGTAACTCAGAAATATATTGCAGAGTGTAATCAACCTAGCATGTTGGAAGTCCCTGAAATTAAGAAGGAGGAGGTAGAATTTGACCCTTGTGAAACACTTTGTGATTCAGGAACAGAGCTAAGAGCACCCCAGGAGTCTCACCCAGATTCTTTTGAGAAGAGAATTCAGAATGTGTTCCCTGAAAGCGAAGAAGATGACAACGAGTGCCTGTCAGAAACCACGGAAATGTCAGTTGAACTGGACAAAGCAAAAGGGAACTTGAGTTTGCTAGAAGAAGCAATAGCTCTGCAGGCAGAGCAAGGGCATGTGTTTCACAGCACCTACAAGGAACTGGATAGGTTTCTCCTGGAGCATCTAGCAGGAGAGAGGAGACAAACCAAAGTTATTGACGTTGGTGGGAGACAGTTATTTAGCAACAAACGTAAGGAAGTATTCTTGGCTGTTCTTACTGGCTTAAGTATTTATCCTGTGACTGATAGAGAACTCTGAGCTAGGTTTTATAGAAACAGTAAAGAATCTGGAATTTAGCTGGTAATTTTGCTAATTATGTACCTTCACACTAGTGCCTTACATCTGACCGGGTTAAACACTGGGTATTTGGCTTCCTGCCAAACTACTATGTGAAATGATCAGTAATGGCTACTAAAAGGGCTGTGTAGCTGGCACTGACACTCCTTCTCCTCCTTCTCCTCCTCCTCTGCCTCCTCCTCCAGAGAGTGCAAATACATTCCTCCTGAATTTCAGCAGCCAAAAAAGAAGGCGTTAAAACAGTGCTTAAGGATAGGTTAGAGTGAAAAATTGGCCTCTTCCAAACATATCACCTAATTCCTAAGCCTTGTGTTTTCTGAGCTCTGCCTACTTCACATATCAACATTACTTTTTACTATAGCCAGCACATCAGAGCCGGGAAAGCACAAGTGTGCTCTTCTGCCTCATTCACCATCAGTGGAATTACCAGTAAGTTCCAAAATCTTTATTGTTTCTGGTGCTGTGTGACATCCTACAAAACTGCAGGACTGTTGTTCCATATTCTATATCTAATCAGGCTTCTAGAATTGGAGATTTAAAAGATTCAGGTTTGATTTGTAAACTGGGTTGGCTGACATGAAAATCCTTGACTAATGGTAATTACAGAACATTGAAAAATGTCATTTTATAAGCACATTTTCTGCTGTAGTAAGTAACTCTACATTAGTCTGTCCTTTGATCTTTCCTTTTTGGCTTCCAAATATGGTGAAGCCACCTTAGCATAGCTGCATTTTCTGTTTTTGTTAAACAAATGGATTTTGTGTTTCTAGAGTTACTTTAGGATAACTCTTCAGAGTGGCACTGTAGAGTCTGTGTAGATGATGTGGCATTTACAAATATTATAGTTATTTAGTTAACTAAATCATTTAGTGTATAAGATAACTTATATTTTTTCATTATTTTCAACTATGTTATATTATGTATTATTTTCAGGCTGGAAATACATGTCATGCATCTCATTCTGTCTTCCCATTAATGTGATAAGCTGTACGTACCAGGTGTTGGTCTACCTCCTTGCAAAACTACATTAACCTTTATTTGTTCAGATGACTATGATAAATGTAGAAATTCTGCAAGTACATTGTTTTTTTTATCCTGAGACCAGGTTTGTTTACCTGGGTTCACATTGGAGTCAATGTGAGTTTCTTACAGCACATAAAGAAAGGAGGAGTGATGGTAAGCATGGTAAAATTTGACCCTTTCTGATTTACCCCATATTGTCATTTCAGGTGAACTTAAGGGCTATATTCATGCAGGAACAAATAAGACCATCTTCAAGCTGTATAAACACTGTATGATTTTAGTCAATGTATCATCAGGCACAGATTTTTTTTTTTTTTCTTCTTTTTTTTTTTTTTTCACATAAATAACTGGTTTATATTTCTAGTGATGAAAATCCTCCATCAAATCCATCAGCTCTTAATTTTCTTTCTTGGATGCTACATCAGAAGAACATGTCTTACATTTACATTTTTCCATCTTTTTAATGATAAAGCTTTCCAATTACTGCAGGAAAAAATTAAATCACATTTTAGGGTCTCTCTTTATTCTCTGTCCACTACTGCAGTACTTTCCATTTGCAGTTATTCTAAAAAGCATGTGGTCTCCTGTTGATGCTCATTCTATTTGCTTTTCTCCCCGATTTTTAATTTTTTGTCTTTTACCTAAAGTCTTGCCAGGAAGTTTAACCCTCAGCTGTCTCTGGCGATCCTGCCACTGAGCACATCCTACCTCACGGTCCAACAAAATCAGCTTGAAGAAGGCTGCTCCCTGTGCTGGCTGCAGCTGTTTTCTCCCCCAGCGCCGAATGCTGTTGGCAGCCAATCACAGATTGAGCTAAAACCATCCTCAGCAATTTATGCAGCCACTTCCTGCAGATTTCTCACAAGAGATTTTCTGGACCAGAATACATTCCTTTCTCGCCCAGACTTCTGATCCTGCATTGGAAATCAAATAAAGGCTTTTTGACCAGAGCTTCTTGCACAGTTCTAGGTGCTTGAAACACAAATTGCGATTGCACTGTGGCTATTGCAGAGTGGTAGCTCTGGGGCTGGGCTGAGACCTTCTCTTTGAAAGGGTATCAGCTGCTCCATGCTTTCACTGTCATTGTGGGCTATTCCACAAAGCAGCATTGCCATGTGTACCAGAGGGAGCTGCTTGCCTTGCCTCTCAAATGTAAAGTGGCATGTATTCAGTTTCCTAACAAAGAACCTACAGCCTAGAGATCTGCGATATTTAAGGAATGGCTTCTGGTTGAAATGATTTTTTTTTTGTTTGTTTGTTTGTTTCACATCTCATCTTTTATTTGGTTGTCCCAGCTTCCTGCAGTCTGACATTAGCAGAGTAAAAGATTTTTTCTGTTTGGCGGGGTTTTTTGTTTGTTTGTTTGTTTGTTTTAATTTATTTATTCCTTTATAGATCTTGCTGTTGGCTGGTGCTGCCAGTTTTCTGGCTTATTGGATTGTGGCTTCTGTCCTGTTTGAAGCTCTGAATGGAATAAATGATACTGCAATCCTAAAGCTATATAGTTTACCAAATGAATGGCTTACTAGGAGTGATGAGCCTCTGCTTTAAGGGTACAGTGTGTAATAACCTAAAGAGATGCTGGGATTACTTAAGCCTGTATTAAAACTTTGTGTAGGAACTGAATGTCTGAAGTACAAAAGAGATTTTATCATCCTGCTAAGTGCACTCAGCTGAATGCAGATAGGGTCAAAAACCAATCAAAATCCTTATCTGATTTCTTTGCAGACTCACCCAGGCCTGAAAAGAGAGAAACCAAATGTCCCATCCCAGGATGTGATGGCACAGGGCATGTGACTGGACTGTACCCCCACCATCGCAGTCTCTCAGGCTGTCCTCACAAAGTTAGAGTGCCACTAGAAAGTGAGTATCATCACCCTGAAGTCCAGAGTAACTGGGTCTGGACTACTACTGTGGGTAGCATGTGTTCTTGCTGGAAAGGAAACCTACTTTTTCTGTGTGAGATTGCAGAAAAGGGGCGCTGCTATCCAGCTCTTGGTCATTCCTACTTGCACACAGTAGCCCTATGAATCTTGAGAATCTTTCTTGCCCATTCCTTTCCAAAAGGCATACAGCACAGAGGTTACCTGTCCTTCAGAGATTTAACTTGATTTGATTTCCTGTAACCACCCACCATGGCTGCTGTTTTCACACTGATAGCAACTTAGAGTCCAGGACATGACTGTCCAGAGATGTTCCCAGCACCCTTCTTACCAGTGAGCTCAATGAGATTATTCCATCCACACATCCCACTGTTGGTCCACAGCAAGTCCCTCTCCTAAGGCTGTATCACGCTAATTTTTGTGTTGCTAGCCTAAATTTCCCTCTTTATTTCTAATTGTACCAATCTTGTTACACTGGTATGTGTGTGTGTAGTCCTGCAATGAGATGCAATGAAGTGTTGCATAAGACAAAATATAATGTGAAACTCTGTTTAAACAACCTAGATAGTCAGATTGTTTTCTGCAGTAGCATGCAAGACAGTAAATTAAAAGAATATCCGCCAGAACAAATCATTTGACTGAACAATCAGTTTTTCTGATGCACTGTACTTCTAAAGGGATAATAAAGACATGAGAAAAGATATACAAAGATATCTCCTGTTTGACACAGACTTATGTCTCGCTCTTAGTAAAGATGGTAGACATAACAGCACATAAGAAATGTGCATGCAACAGGTTGTAATCCCTGCTAAGAGTATAAATTGCTGCTTGGGGGATGACCGATTGATCAAAAGTAGATTCAGAACAGATCAGATGATCAGAAGATATCAGGATTCAAAAGGACATACTCAGAACAGATTATTTTACGTGGCGGAAAGTGTGGAAAGCCTTTCTGCACCTGACAGCTATCCCTTCCTGAGCCAGAGAGGGATTGCAGCTATAAGTATGCCAACCATGGTTCTTAGGAGTTCTCCGTAGCCTCACTTTTTTCATTTTACTTTGTTAGTGGTGTGAACCAGAGAGCTACAGGCTTCATCACCTAACATCCCTGCTAAATTCCACCTTTGTCCTTCTGAAGTCCCTAGAAAAAAATGTTTTGCATGTTGATAGACACACAACAACTAAGTAGCAGTCAAATGGTCTATCTTGGAGATACTGGTCTGGCTGCATTGCTTCTCTTCTTTTGAGGTCACAGTATGACAGAATTGAGAATCTTCTGAGTCTGAAGAAGAAATATTCTTATTTTTTAACATTTATATTATTCAGTTATGTATGTTACCAATTGTTTTTCTTCCTTAGTTCTTGCCATGCATGAAAATGTTTTAAAGTGCCCCACTCCAGGATGCACTGGAAGAGGACACGTCAACAGCAATCGCAACACACACAGAAGGTAGTTCAGAACACTTAAAATCTGACATGTACTAATGAATAAACTGATGGTCATGCCTTGGAATTGGATGCTATTTACTCTACTGCAAAATGCCTATGAACAACAAGATTAGTCTAATATTTGTAACAATTGCTTTTAATTTAATTATATAAAAAATGGCTTCAGCACTGTAGATAGTAGATTCCTCTGTCTTTTTCACAAATAAGTTTTCAAAATGTGGTATCACTATAGCGTTCATGGTGAAACACCATCATATAAAAAAAGTTGGAATGAACAAGTATATTATTAATGCTACAGCTAGAAACCCCAATAAAAAAAAAAAAAAAAAAAAAAAAAAAGCCTTTTTGTTTTGTACTACATATATAGTAATCTTTGCAGGAATTAACTATGTTCTGTTTCAGCAAAACATGAAATTTTACAGGCAAAACTTTAGAATCTCTGTAAAAGCGAACTCCATTAATTAGTTTCAGGGATGTCATCTTCCTGCTTGGAACACCCTTCTCTGTTTAACTTTCTGCCTGCAGAGAGAAAGTAAAACTAAGTAAAGCCTTCCAGGCAGGGAGCTGGGGAATCACAGCTGGGCTGCAGGTGAGGCAGAGAGCTGAAGCATGTCTCCTGTGAGCATTGATGTCTCCTGGCAGGCAGCAAGCCAAAATATGCCCCTATAGTTCTTATGGAGGGCCATTCCTCTGGAAGAATATGTTGTCTATCTAATGATCAAACTTGTGGCAAAAAAACGTCAAAAAAAAATCTTGGCTGAATTGAATTTTTGTGGGATTTTCTTTTTTGCATGATTGATTTTGGTTAATTGGCTATGGTAATAGAGCACCAAACTCAAGGATTATCGTACTATGTTACTATCTCTCATGTAAAAAGGTAGCATGAAGCCTTAATTAGAGTGATCATTAGATTGTCTAACATAATATGTAAGGAACCATTAAATATTTTTTTCAATGTTTTACCTGTTTTAAATCCTTGGTTTTCTTAGTAGCACATCAGGTGTATCATAAGTGAAAAATGAATAGGGTAAGAAAGCATTGTTTAATTAAGGCAAATACAGAAAGAAAGAAAAATAAAAGAGAAGAAGAAAAAAGGAAAAAAAAGAAACAAGCAAGCAAACAAACAAAAAACAACAAAACAAAACAAAAACAAAAACAAACAAACAAAAAAAACCAAAGCCCAGCCAGAAATGGCAAAATGTTAACTTTGGTAAAAGCCATTGTTTACATATAGCTATTTATTTCCCCCAAATCCACTTTCTAACTTTCTAATCTTTAGGAGGTTTACACCCAGGAAATAGCTCATTAGAAAAATAAAAATAAAAAAATAAAAATTTTATTGTGACTTGTAAGCCACAAAACATTAGAGCTCAATGCTGGAAAATTCCTACATGATTCAGTTTCCATATATATCATCTCTAATATGCAGATTTCACAGTTTTACACTAAGGGATGAAAAACAAATGAATCTGACTTTAAAGGGCAGCTCCTATTGCCACAGAGTCCCAGAGAAGTTTGAAGCCATTGGTTTCCATAGCACATTTCTATTACTTAAAATTTCATTTTAAGATTTCTTTCTTCTTGTTTCTTTCCTTCACCTTGTTTTTAAACAGCCTTTCTGGTTGTCCAATTGCTGCAGCTGAAAAGTTGGCAATGTCCCAGGAAAAAAACCAGCTCGAGTCTCCAAAAGCAGGGCAGTGCCATGATCAAATTCACAGGTAGGAGCCTACCATGGTCTAGTCTACTCAAAGTATTCTGCACAAACTCTATCAGTCCTCAGGTCCTTCAGTCTTTTTTGGGGTCCTAGCTACAGAGGTATTTCAGTTTTGCAAAATGAAGCTGTGTGAAGGTAAATAACTTGAATTTATCTCAAAATTGTCAAGTGGCATTCTGCTAGTCATTGTGAGTATGGCTGACACTAAAGACAATGGACATATGTTTCAAAAAGCAATTCATTTTCTTCTACTAAATCTTACTTCAACACAAGAATCCTAACGGACAATTCTCAAATGTCTTCCTTCCGTAAACAAAATCTGCTATCTTTGCTGAAATGTTGCAAATGATTTTTCCGGAACCGTTCCTTTGTTACAACATTTTGTCCACTGAAACATTGTTAAAGATCTTTTTGAGCAAACAGCGCTTCTAGAAGCACAGAGCTACTTTGTTGTGTTTCTTTTCATGGGTATCTTTAAGTGATCCCAAGAAGTTATATTGTTGATGCACTTATGTGAAAGGGTTGAGAACCCTGTTCTTTCAGTTTCCCCACTGTTGATTAATTCATGTTATGAGTTTCTTTCTTTTAAGTTTAGTGATTTAATTAGTTTAATTTATTTTTTATACAATGGCATCAAAAAGAGAAAACATTTTTTATTGCGATTGTATTTTGTTCAGAGTTATATGGACCCTACAGACATGCATAATTTGCACATCATTGGCACCACGACCGTTACAACCTATTATATTCAGGTCTATTTGGGGACACTTTAATTTGTGGATTATTGACATGATCAGCTCTAATGGTTCCTTCAGAGCCATTATAGAATATTATGTCCATGTGTCTGCCAACTGCACGTGCCTTAACTCTACATATGAAAAGTCCTTAGGAAATTACTAAAGACAAGTAGTTACTGAACGGTAACTAAATGGAATAACACACTATATATCATTCTTCCCAAATAGCAGAAGCAATTATTTTGGATCATTTGTATTAAATTTATACCATAATCATTCACAGTAAAGTGAGAACAATAGTGATCCATAAGAATACAAGTCATTTGTAACTTACAAAAATGCAGAAAAATTTTAGGAAAACAACAACAACAAACAAGAAAAAAAAAAAAAACACAGTGGCACAGAAGTAAATTGGTATCCTCTTTGTAAATTGTCTGCAGCATTGCTACGGAATACTAGATATTTTTACACATACAGCTATGAACATATATGAAGACAAAGTTCTCTTTGACTTCTTGGTCAGCGACCAGAATTAGATTTCTTTCTTGTATGCATCTACCAGTAGGTGTTACATGTGAAAACACTGTACTTTCTGATTCTAGGATGCAACTGTCTGCTACTTTTCAGTAAAATATTATTTAAAGATATTCTCGCTTTGCTATTCTTGTCTTTCTCATGCTTTTCCTCCTTTTCTCTGCAGCACAAATTTAACTAAGCAGCTTGAGGTAGCTCAGTACAATTACAGAACTTCACAACCAGTCACTTCTTCCAGAACCACCCTCACAAAAGAAAAGGAGAAGTTTGGGAAAGTACCCTTTGATTATGCCAGCTTTGATGCACAAGTCTTTGGCAAACGCACAATAGCACCTGCAGTGCAAGGGCAAAAAACACCACAGTTCCTTGAATGTAAGTTTGAAATTCTATTATATTTTGGGAAATGGGCTTTTTTTTTTTTTTTTTTTTTTTTTTTTTCCTTCCTTGCTCTCCTTTCAAATTTACAGAATTCAGAAAGTCTTTATAGGAAATGTCTTAAGCTACTTATGGCCAAAATGCTAAATATATTCACTATTTGCTAAATGTAACTGCTAGATTGCTAAATATGATCACTATAAGATTTACTTTTTTGATGTGTCTTTGAAAAGCAATTGTCAGAAGAAGAGGAGAGTAAAAAAAAATGAATTATTTTTATCTTATCTGTTGGCTTCCTCTTTGGCTAAATTTTGATATTCATGTGATAGTATGCTACCATGAGAAATCCCACAGAATGTCATCACAGGATGCTATGAATTATATATAGCATATACATAAATAAATATAATAGTAAATATAATAAAATTTCAAGTTAGGTTTTAAAAGAAACTTGAGATACTTTTTAGTTGCATCCATACACATACTCTTCCTCCTAGATCATGTGCTTCAGCTGCATTACTTTCAGGACTGAATTTAATTCATTTTGATTTCTTATATTTCTGTACTACACCATATTCATAGTGCAGACATATCGAATGCATCAAATCATTATCAAGTGCTTACATCACTTGCAGATTTGTAGAAGTAACACTCTGTAGAAATGAGATGCTGCAGTGTGAACAGTGATTATTTATTGCGGACATATTTTCACAATCTGTGTGGGAAATTTCAGCAAGATTCTGCTGCACAATTGGCCATTATAAAATACTTCTTAGTTTCAAGAAACACACAATTCAGTTTCCACGAGGAAAATGGGAAAAAACGGTTTAATTGTGTCATATATGGGTGCAGGAGAAAATAGATCTAAAGTTATGTGACAGAAGACTCTCGTGCATGACAAAAAGGGTAGTAAAAGAAAACAAAAAAAAAAGGAAAATTCATCTAACTTAAAGAAAGGAAGGAGAACATCTGCAGTAAGGTGAACATAAAAGCAGAATTTTTTAAAATGCGTATATACATATAAACATCACAATACTTCTAAGAATATATTATAAATATCTATGTATATTTATAAAATATGCTCATTTGTGCAAGTATCTGAACATGTATGTGTATATATATATAATGTATTTGTAGATACCAATGCATTTTTGCATATATGTGTCTATATATATAAATACCTCATTTAAAATGACAAATGAAAAGCAGATATTTATCCACACTGGAAAATAGGCTTGTTCAGATGTAAGCAAATGTGTGTATTGCCAGCTTTTTGGGTGGCAGGTTTTCCAATTTTGTTTGTAAAATTGAATATACCCTATTAGATGCCGCTTTGCACAGACGCGTGTCTATTTCACAGGTTCATCTCAAGGAAAAAATGATTGAAATGTTTTTATACAAATGCAAATCCATACATATGCAATTTCTGTATAATGTATATCAGGACTGAAGTTTATGGCCTGTTGTTCTTACAAAGATTGCAGTGTACAGCTATTATTTTAATGGAAAGGTGAAAGTAAAAGAGTAGGTGAGTGTTTTAGCTGTGGAGATGCATAAAAGTTGGCAGTAAGAAGCTGTGATTTACAGACTGGTTCAACGTCCTATGTAAATATGAAGCTAGCCAGAACCACATCATTAGTACTCTGTGGATTCTGCATTTATAAACTTGATTTGTCGACAAAATGTGTATCCATCAGAGCCTGCTTTTTCTTTTCTTTTCTTTTCTTTTCTTTTCTTTTCTTTTCTTTTCTTTTCTTTTCTTTTCTTTTCTTCTCTTCTCTTCTCTTCTCTTCTCTTCTCTTCTCTTCTCTTTTCTTCTCTTTTCTTCTCTTTTCTTCTCTTTTTTTTTGCCTGTTATGGTGGTTAATAGATAAAGCACCTTTTTACTTGTTAAAAATAATATGAAATTAGCAATAGTAAGTGCTAAAAATATAATATGAAATTAGCAATAGTAAGTGCTAAAAATGAAGACCCTCTTGTTCTGTAATTTCACAGAGGGCTAGTTTCATTTCTACTGGAGAAAAGGAGAGCTTAATCATGAAGCTCTTATGTTTTGCTTTATTGAGATGCCCTCAGTATTTAGAAAAACCAAACATGACATTCAACTACAGTCAGTGCACATAAGCAACTATTTCTTCTACAGCATCCCAAGTTTGAGGAAAGATGTCTTGAATGTGTTGTGTTGGTCCTATCATTGAAATACAGTCAGCCAAAGCTCTACATCCACAGCCTTGGGGCTGAAATCTTTATGCAGCAAGCAGTTTGCATATGCAGCAATGTTCTTGTTTATCTGGATGTAGGCTGAGAAGCTGGATTTTGCATATTTTGTTAGACCCTATAAGAGCTACAGAGAAATGACTATTGCTTATTTAGAACTGAGATCATTATGCTGTCTTTTCCCAGCCACAGTTAGTGACTTCTCAAACTCCAAAATACAGAAAAGAGAGTACAGTTCTTTCTACTTGTTTTGGAGTCAGTGTTGGTGATGGAAGACAAAACAAAAAAACCATAAATGCCACTTGTGTCCATGAAAGTACTTTTCTGTTCACCTGCTGGTTCTTTGTTCTTAAGTGACCTCTTTGTGTCTACTGAATCTTATTCCAAATGACAGTCAGTGTGAAGAGATCAGCTGAGACCACTTTTATTCTGAATATTCATTGTTTGTTCTTTTTGTGTGTTTTCTTTTTGTGTTTTGTTGTTGTTGTTGTTGTAGTTGTTCTGTTTTTTCCTTACACTTGTTATTTTATTGTAGGGAAGGGGATATTTGGGTTTGGGGGGTTTTTTTTTAGCTGTTTTGGGTTTTTTTTTTTTGCAATTCTCTGAAGGTTAGACTCAAATTACAGAAAGTTTCCAGAAAAACAGTTTATTCAAGAGCCTGATCTTGTTCTCCTTACTCATACAAACAAAGCTACATAAATAACAGTTATTCATTTAAGTAGGGTAAGCAATGTTGTTTTAGCTAAGACTGGACAAGTCACTTGTGTCTTCTTACTCAATAGAGCTCCAAGGGGAAGCCTTCAGAAGGATATACTTGCAAGTTCATTTTCTTACCTGTGTCATCAGATCAAATTTGATAACGCATTAATCCTTGTTCAATCTTTCCTTAGACATCATTGTGTTCCATGCCTGACTAAGGAAAGAGAAAATTCTGAGTAAATGTCTCAGATGCTTTGTTAAAAGATGTGTATATAGAAAAGTTATTTTTCTGGTAAAAAATTAAATATTCATATTTCTGAAGCCACTTTTACAGCAAACCTTTAGAGTCAGTAAAAATTCATTGTTTTAAATGTATTCTCTGAATATTTTATTATATGAAACTGTAGTCTGAGAAACAAGACTATTTTATGGAAAGAAATTGCATATTTAAAATTGCTAATCAAATCTCTCTTCAACAGCAAAGCATTTTTCAAATCCAGTGAAATTTTCTAATCGACTGCCTAGTGCTAGCGCCCACACACAGAGCCCTTGCCATGCCAACTCTTATAGCTACGGTCAATGTAGTGAAGACACCCACATAGCAGCAGCTGCTGCTATCCTGAACCTTTCCACCCGCTGCAGGGAAGCAGCAGAGATCCTCTCCAACAAACCACAGAGTCTGCCTGCCAAGGTAGGGTAGTCCAAGAACCTGGAGGGTGTGCTAGCTACTGAACTGTGCGAATAAACTGTCTTTCATGTTAGTGACTGCATTAAATCCCCAAAAAGAAGGCTTCTGTTTGCATGCTCTTTTGAAGAGAAAGAAAAAAATCAGTAATGTAGTGACCATTTATTTATAAAAATAAATAAATAGCAGGAGTTATGTTGTTACTCTTTTCATAATTGAGCCCTAAATACAAGGAGGGAATTTTGTGGGTATGATAAAGATGGATATATGAAATCCAGCAACAACAATTTGTGTTGGATAATGAGTTACATATGCTTAAAGAAGGAATTTCCCTCTCTCTGAAACCTGCCATAAACAATCATTTTGGAGGCTGTTAAAAAAAAAAAAAAAAAAGTGATTAATCAAGGTGATATTTTGTTTGCAATTAAACACGACTACATCTATCGAGTTTGCTGTATTCTGAGCATATTTGACAGTTTGACAAGGTGTAGAGAGATAAATAACAACTGACTTGGATAAAATGCTTGTTTCTGCTGGTGAGAGAGGAGAATCAGACCCACAGTATTTGGAGATAGATAATTTGGGCAAGTCTGTCGTAATGGAATGATGCCTAATCTCGTAGATGTTTGTGTGGCTTTCATGTTTTGGTTTCGCTCTGCGTTTCCTCACAGATCTTTATGATTTACAAATGGTACTGTGTGAGCTATGAGCCTTATTTTCTGTGCCATTACATGGTATTATAATGCTGATGAAAACAGACAAGATTTTCTTCTGATGGCTGTGCATGTGGGAGCACTGTTATTTGTTATTTGCATTAAAGTTCCATGTGCTCCCTTACAAACCAACAAAACTTTTGAAAGCTCTGGGTAGATGAGGATTTGCCATTACGAGAACTTGAGAAGAAATCACTGAGGGATGAAAAGAGGTGTATTTATCAAGATACAAATTATCAGGCGTGTTTCTGCTATGGAACTCCAAGTCTTGATATGTATTCCAAATTACCAGTGATTGTTACATTGCAAGCCTCACAGTGGCTAGAGATGGCTTCTGCAGCTGTTGTTCTACAAATTTTGTTGGGCCTCTCTCCACTACTACTAAGAGACTACCTGTTATCCTTTGAGGGGAACCACTTGTTTTACCACAAATGCGGCACCTTGTCAGGCAATACAAGCCATTCTCCTTTGCATAGTAGTATGTCTTACTATTCTAACTTTTATTTCCACTTGTGGGGTCTTGAACCTTGAAAGCAGCACTGGGAGGTACCACAGGGTGTCCATTTTAGTGTGTCTATATGCATTCTCCATAATTTAGATATTATCTATCCCAAATATTGCACATGAAACCTTTCTCAGGTGACAGATCTATCCCTGACAGCTGCTGCAGAGAGGTCCTTCCACTGATCTTCTATAGAGACTTCTAGCATGAAAATGGAAACTGATGCCAATGGCTGGATTACATTGCTGCCGCAGCCTTTGGCTGACCTCAGCAATACAACTTTCTTGCCAGAGAAGAGCAGTAAAGGGACCAGACATAAACCAAAGATTTTCTCCTCCATACCTGCTTCACAGTTGCCAAATGATGAGGAAGGTTTGAATGGGAGTGAATATAATAATAACGATACAGAAGAACACTTGGGGCACATAGCTTACTTCTTTTTCACAGCTAGGAATCCAACCTAAAAAAAAAATCACCTGCATACCTTGCTATCTGCCTGCATCTACTTTTGCCAGACTTTCTGGAGGGCATACTGATACAAAACATCTGACAAAAGAATCAGAATTAGCTTCTGGCTAGAACACAGGCAAGTGAGCCCCAAACAGATTTGATGGCCAAAACCAAACAAAACTGTTTTTATTTGGATTTGGCTATTTATTACTTTCAGAACTAAAGCGGAAATAAGTCTCTAAAAAACCTCTCTTCAGTGTAGATTTTTTTTTAATGTTAAAATATGAAACATGTATGAGGCTATATCTAAAAGATACCACCATCTATTTGTTAATATTTTTGAATTCTTTTCTGGCTAGTATTGGTCACCAAGGTAGATTTTTTAATTATAGAGTATCATATATTCTTAGATAATCAAAAACATCTCATGAGGACTTTTTCAGTATTGGGACTCAAATAATTCACCATAAGCTGATGACTACAAATTTAATGATTTATTTTTCCTGTTCTTGATAGTACACACATTCACCAAGTCTGAAAACACTTGTGAAGGGTGGCTGTGTTTAGAGCTCCGTAGTGCTCTCTGAGCCCCGACCCTGCCACATTCCTTTGTTCCTTGCCAAAGAAAACCTGATTAACATCATTCTTACTTTAGCGGATCAAAGCCCCTGACTTCTAAAGGTCTTTTCTATTACATAAGCACCATGAAGCCTCCCATCAATGCAAGACACAACACCTGGGAGTCAGAGTGATAGAAAAAGGGCCAATGGGACCACAGAGGATATGGTAGGAAATATTTTCCAAGTATATGTATAATAATCAGATCTGTAAAATACCATGCTTCTAAGTTTTAAAAGAGAACTTGAACTTCAATCATTTTAAGCAATTGTCATTTTCGTGTTTTCTCTCAAGGCGCATTGTCCCAGATTTTATTTATTGACCTCCAAGGGCTTGTCATTTTTTTTTTAGTAAGAGCTGGACATTTTAACTTGAATGTTCACTACTTTTCTGCAAATATGGATATATAATACTCAAATGAAAAAGAGACTTTTTTTCACTGCAAAGTTTCAATTGTTATTAATTCAATGGACTTTCAGTCTTAATAGGAAATGATCTCATATTCTCCACATATCAGTTCAAAAGGGAGAATCCAAGGGGAAAGAAAAAAAACAAAAAAAAAAGAAAAAAAAAGAGAGAAGAATAAAATGTAGCAAGGGTAGAGAAATCTGATTATACATTAGTATTAGCACTGCTGTTGGTAAAAAGAATCTTAAAAAGAGAACCAACAAACCAACATAAGAAAGCTATCTGACATATATTCCTATATAAAAATTCTTAATTTATAAATTAAACAATTTAAAGAATACCTTTATTCTTAAATGGGCATTAAAATTGATCCTAAGCTTTCCCTGTGAAGTCTCTATTAGCTGTGTGCTACTTACTAAGATAATCAGGCACTTGATTATGCCATATTTAAAATAAGTAATACCATATTGACTATATAGCATCTAAGCCATTCAGTTTCACAGGTGCACAGGTTCGCGAGTAAGCTGTTCCCCTGCTTAAATTGATCAGCCAATTCTCATGTGGTCTATACGCCAAACCAGTACACCGGTCTCCATTTGATTTCCAGCTCATGTCACTACTTTCAACTCCTATTGAAGTAAACAGAAGGACTCCCCTTCAACAATTAGCCTGCAGTTTTCAGCACAGCGCAAGTGTCTACATTATCATAGCATCCATTCACTATTTACAGCTCTCACCACATTCACAACTCACAGAGGTAGTTGCAAGCAATGCAGCTTAACTGTATCTCCATCACTACTGCTTGCCAAACATTTTGTTGAATGTTTTGGTGTTTTTCCCACCTGTTTAGACAAAATGGCATATGCATGCTATGCCTTGAAAGAAAACAAAAAAATGACACTTGATAAAAATATTTAAAGTTCAAATTCTGTTACTGAACAAAATTATGTCATCTCTATATTCTTGGATATTGATGGTGATAATTACATCAATTATTTCAACAATGTAGTCAGTGTTGTCACTTAACACGTTTGTCAGGCATTCTTTTATTCCAAATACCTTAAAACCTAAATACAGTGTGAAAATCAGCCAAGAATATCACTAGGTTACATCCTGTTATACCACTGTGCATGTTGCTCCTTAAGTAAGTGCTTGGCTGCCTTTATTTAATTTGTGAATTGCTCTGGGCTGAAACTGTGACTTTATTTGTTTCTCAAATATCACTGGGCAGTTACAAGTTTTCCTGCTTTGCCTCTGTATTTCAATTTACTACAGAATAACTCAATTGTTTAAATTTACATCTGAGGTATGCATGCATTTATTCTTATTGATTGTGAATAGAAAAAAAAAAAAAGTACTCTTTCAGATGGAGTCAAACTAAGAATAGCATTCACACACAAGGCAAGATAGATATTAGTTCCAGAGATATTTCTTATGCTAGAACTGAAAAGCCCTTTTGAGCTTTCTACACCAGACTGAACTGCTAGTGGGAAGACAAAATCTTTGATAATGTTGTTTCTTTGGACTTATTTAGTATTAAGAGCTATGACTGATGCCAACCAAAGAGTACATAAAACTCTTATATATAATGACACAATCTCCCTTAGGTCACAGGTTTGAAATAAGGTTCATACAGACAAAATAATTCACTCTTTCTGATTCATCTATGAGATAAAGCTTAACTTGTAATCATTACTTGAGACAAATTGCAGCGTATTAGTTTTGAGCTACCAAATGAACAAAAAACATATGAAATAATGCAGCAATAATTTATGAAAAACAAACAAACAAACAAAAAAACCTTCTCCCTTTATTATCTTGGCTTATATGCTTGAGTTCCAAGACAAGATTAAATAATGTACTAGATAATACTTCGTAATAATTACGCCATAAAATGAAGTGAAGTGAAAAAGCCTGACTTTAAATTATAAAGCACTTGAAGAAGATAGAGACCATTTCTTAGTTCATTTTGTATTAGTCTTCATTTTAGATGAATATTCTTCACAGAATGCTACCTGTACCTCATCTTTTTTGCTGCATAGATCGTGGAATGAAGAAAATATACTTTAGTCTTTTTTCTCTCATTTTTCACTCTGAACTCCTTTTTCCAGCTCCTTATAGAACCTGTGGGAATGATTACACTGTCAGTGATGTGGAAGCAGATAAGGAATAACCTGAATTTAATTACTGTAGGTCTCCTTTCACCCTTATTGATTTTTCTTCATTGCTTCAGTAGATTTTTTCCTGGTTTACATCAGTGTAAATGTAAATAAGATCAAAATCAGATTCCAAGGATTCACTCAGCTGTAAACTATTATGTTAGGAAATAATAAGATACATTTGCATCTTTATTTTACTTACATTTTAAGGGAAAAACAGAAAATATACATAGTTTTCTGTAGGTACTATTAAATATGTAATTAAAAATGGATAAATATGAGACAGTTCCTGTACAGACTAGTCAACAGATCTTGCCTTCAATGAGGAGAACACAACCTTTACAAGTCTGAGATAAGCATAGTAAGTGCCATTTTCTGTCAGTATGCCACAGCACTTCTTTAGCATTTTTACCATTTTTGTCTTTTTAGCTCCATTTTAAAAGTAATGTAAAAATAAATGTGGTAAAACAAGCAAAGCAGACATATTGAGAGGAGGGTGGGATGAGAATAGGAATGAAAACTGGAGCTGTAGTTCTGACCATCATCTCTCTGCCATTTGGAGTTTGCTATGAATGTAGCAAAGTGATAGCTATTTTATACTGTTCTGAATAAAAACCCATGCTGTAAACGTGTGATCCATCCTGTGATGGGCAAAAGGGGATATTTTTCCATGACTATATTTAATTGCTGTGTGCATCTGTGAGCTCACTTAAACCCCATCTGTACTCTACTTCACAAACACACAACCCAGCCTTTCCTGATCAGAATTAGGTGCGTTGGACAACACAGCTTCCGCACGAATTTCAGGAAAGTGCTGCTATCTATCTATGTTAGTAAAACATTCTCCTTATCACTCAAAGCTCTTGTTTAGGTTAGTGGTAGCTATTTCCCAGGGGCTATGCATTTCCCAGTATTCTCCTGTGTACAGTTTCATCAAGGAGGGAACCTTGAATGCTTTTGATCCCTTTTGTTGCCATTGTTGCTTTCTGAGTAGCTGATATTTTGTCAGTGACAGAGAATCTGCACTATTTATGGGTTTTGCACTATAAAACTACTGCAGCCCAGTCACATGGCTTCCTTTTCTAAGCCATCTGTCACAGAGGTCTGGAATTTTATGTGAATGTTGGTTGTGCAGACTTAACCCAAGTTTTTTTATTACGAAAAATGTCAGCAACTACAATATTTAGCATTTTACTTTACATTGGTCATTAAACTTGATTACTGTAGCTCTGTTTCATGGCTATAGTTACATATCAACTCTGAAGCCAAAAAACACTGGGGCGATCATGGCAGAGCTGTATTGTCAGATCCTGGAGTGTGAACTTGGCACTGATATAGTTAATATCTTGGATTTTTGTAACTAAGGTTTATTAATGCTGGTATAAAAATGTATTTGATATTATACAGATGGCATAAGATGTGGTGGATACTAAGTTATTATCCAGGATAAGCTGCACTGTCAAATTCAGGGCTTAAAACTATCACAGGAGATTAAACTATTTACTAAAAAGGGGCAGAAAGATATAACCAAAGCGTCTTAGTATGAACATATTAGAAGTGTATTTACTTCCCATAAATATAATAAAACATCTCTTTAAGCTGTATGATTGAAAATGTGAACTTTGTCATGCAGACGAAGCAAATGTAAGAAGTGCCTGAGTTTCTAAACTGAGGACAAGCAGATGGCTTGGTATGCTTCAGTCTAGGTGTGCATCTGTCACAGGCCCATGGATACAAAATGGAACCAGGATCCCCAAGTAAGGAGAGATCGCTGGTCCTGAAATTTTCATCTTCTACCGAAATTTTCCTTGTGATTAAAAATATTTCATCAGCTGCATTTCACCTTTAAGTGAGTCACCACTGACAGTGGTAGAAGACAAAGCTGCATGAACGAAGCTTGTGTCTTCAGTCCAACTGACTTTGTCATGTCACACTTTCAGTACAGAGGAAGAATTCTTCACTTCATTGTAACTGTTTTTAAGATCCATAAGTAAGCATAAATTTGGTTGCACTATCTTTAACCATTCAATGACAGACTAATCTCCAGCAATAGTTAATGGGAAAAAAAAAAAAAAAAAAAAAAAAAAGGAGATTTGCTCTGTCAGCATCTCATCTTTTCCTAAGAAAGAGATCAAAGTAAAATGGAAAAACTTGCTCCCTGGGCATATCTGTCTCTTTTCTCTCTTCAACAAAGGATCTAAATGATTCAATTATGGTACAGGCTTACTTTTTTTTTTTTCTTACTCTTTCAAAGTAAGAAAGCTTGATGTGGGCTAATATGACTGTCTCCAAAGTTACCCAGCACCTAATACATCTCACCTCAAATTCCCAAGTGGCTTCTGAGCTTTGTGGTGATGGAAATAGAAAATAGTACTGACGAAAACAACAGGAGGACTCATCCGCATTAAATATAGCATTCAACATGAGTACTACTTCACATGACCTTGTCATTTATCTCTGTAGTCTCTGTATATTTTCCAACTTGTTCAGGTTAACACGTGCAACTAGGCTACCAAGTGTTCTTTCAGAAGGCACCTTTTTCACCTCTTCTGCTACTTGATTTAATAACTGCTGTCAATAGTGAGGACCAGTCTTACCCATACCTAAACACTATGTCAATATGCAGTGTTGCTCCCTGCTTAAGGCATACATATCAATTCCAGATAATATCCCTGCATTTGAAAAGTAAGAGCAAAGGTACAGAAAATCCCAGCAATAAAAAAGACACCTTGAGCAATTATCTGTAGACAGGAATTGCAATGGTCACAAAGGAGTTCACAGTGGTAAAATCACTATCAGGTCACTATTTATCTGTCCACGTGGATAGGACAAGGGAGCAGTATCTCATCAGTGAGTGAAAGCAAGAAGTTTTTCAGCTTCTTAAGGGATGATGTGGACAAGCCAAAGCCTGCTTAGGCCTATGTCCAGAAGCAGAAAGGCTGTTTTCTCAGTGCAGAAAGGGCTCATGGTTAGCCCTCACAACATGATGAGGTGAAATTTTTTTGTTGCATCTATCACTAGTTGTACTTTCAGGAGTTTTTTGTCATTTCAAGAAGAGGAGTTTTTACTGTGGAAGAACAGTGAGCTTTTCTTCCTTGGTTCTCCTCATACAGCTAGGCAGCACTTGCTTTTTCATATGAGCAGGAACTGTCCTGAGAGATTCTCCCTGACTGGAAAGAGAAGTTGGGTCTCTTTCCAAACTGCACACTCCCCTGCAATCAGAGGCTGCTGCTTGCTGTACTTCCCAGAGTAGCAAAGGCTCTTTTTACTCATGTTAGAGGTGCATCAAGGAGATTCTTCCAAAGATTCTTCTGCGGCTCTCAGTCTATTGCTCTCTACGCAGACCTTGTTTTGTGGCAAAACTTTAAAAGATGATTTCCAACTCAGATTATGATTAAGATAATAATATGTGAAAAATTCTACTGTGTTTCTTTTAGGCATATTTCTTACCCCTCCTTCTCTCCTCCATGATGTAGATGTAATATTTGTGAGGTGTGCGGGGGAGGGAGCATATGTAATAATAATGCTGGTGATGACCTAAACAATGCACTAATGCTTTTTACTGTGAATTGGGGTCATAGTTTTCTGTAAGAGTGAAAAGATCAAGAAGATTTAAAGCTAAACTTTTTTTAAATAAAACTAGATTTATAGTGTATAGGCTATGGTTTAGAGGCATTTTTTTAAAATTCTACTTACAGTGTTTAAGCTGAGATGCAGGGACACCATTACTGAAGCTACCCTTAAGTCTGCCTAAGAGTTGGACATTAACTGATATAAATCGAAAAGCTGGTTTTAGATTCAGATAAATTTAAATAAAAGCATGCATTTATACTTATCCTTTAAAAGCACCACATGTTTATGTTGCAGCTTCACCATGTCCGTATTTAAGTATGTCTCTGTTTCCTGTGTTAGGGAACTGAGATAGAAGTGGATGAAAATGGCACTCTGGATTTGAGCATGAAAAAGAACCGAAGCCAAGACAAAGTTACGCCTCTCACTTCTTCCAGTACAGTACTTCCCACTCCTTCCTCTTCTCCTTTCAAAACAAGCAGCATCCTGGTAAATGCAGCCTTCTACCAGGCTCTTTGTGAGCAAGAAGGCTGGGACACACCAATCAACTACAGCAAGACACATGGCAGGAAAGAAGAAAAGGAGGTATTTTTTTTTTTCAGTCTCTGAGTGATTTTTTTCCAATGGATGAGTGGTCAGATAATGATATTTCAATAAATCTCTGCCAGTGAGCCTTGGATCTCACATGTGAGTCTATTAGTTCAGAATCCCATCTGAGAGCATAAATTCAGAAATAAAAAATTGTTTGAAATTCCTGACGCTTTTTGTTACAAGTAGCACAAAAGTATGTGTATGTGATTTCCACCAATAGTGATGACTTTTATTCCATAAGAAAACATCAGGGAAAAATGTAAGAGTACATACAAATGCCTTCTCTATTCAACCTATCCTAGGGAATGTAATAAGTCAAACTTAAAAACACAGAAAAAAAAGTGAAATGGCCAACTAAAATTTCAGTAAATCCTTATAGTAACTTTGCACCTTTCATGGCTATTCTTCCTGTCTCCCCCTTCCAACTTGATCACGATATTGGTTTTGTTTACTTGTCAGAGATTTGTCCCCTGTTGGCAACATGGCAGCACAATCTATTGTTTTTCTCTCCTTCTATTTGACAAGCTTTGGCTTTCAGTTATTTTTGTTTTGTGCTTTTTCTTTTTCTTGCGTCTGGCCATCAGAATATGGATTACTTGAATTTTTCTTAAATAAGGAAAGGATCATAAGTCATTTTAAGTCTAATTAGACAAAATCTCGCTAATTAACATAAACAAGCCTTAGTGATAACCTTTGAAGTAGAATGTTTTGATTTGAACTTTTTTACTTGGCTACAAATACATTTACTTCCTATTTGTTGTTTTTATATTGAATGAAACATTTGAACATTTTAATTATTACAAAATTATCTTTTTCAAATATCAAAACTGATACTTCAAGAAGGCTTACAGAATGGTAAAGCTGTTTAGAGCTGAGGTTAGGGGATTCACATTTACGGTTCCAAAAAATATCCTGAAATAAAACATAATTCAGTTGAACACATAAAAATTTGTCAGGATTGGGTAAAGATCTGCCATAATGAGACAATTTGTGCTTTGGTGGATCATTTATCAGAGGCAGGATTGTCTTGAAGAGAACACTGCTGACACCTCTGTGGGGCTGACTGTGTTCTCTGCCTCAGCCACAAGGCTCTGGGAACCTGTATCAGTATTCTGGAGTGAATTTCACACAACACAGGCTGAGGGCCCCAACTTTGAAAAAAGTGCCTTGCTGCAGATCAGTTGATGACACAGACTTGGCAGGAGCCTATTCTGTTGCTCCTCCTCCCTGCAGCAACTGAGGATCAGAGAAGGAGCTATAGCAGAAGCACCTCCATGTTCCCCACTCTTTATGGGCTTTCAGACTGCCAAGACATGTGGCGGCCTGCTTCACTCGGCACCAGAACAGGGAACTGGATGCATCAGCACACTACACAAAATGACAAAGATCACTGTTCAGGCACTTTTGCCCCTCACACTCTGTGCTTTGACACTATATGGCTTGTTCCTAATTGAGGATCTGGACCCAGACCTCTGCTGTGAGCTTTTGCCATCTCAGTGTGTCCAGTGATCTCAGGGCCAGAGGCTCTGTTTTGCAAATCGAAGACTGGCAGTTATCCTTATGCAAAGAAAATGACTGATTATATCTATTTCTAATTCATTGTTATCTGGTTCATATGCACAACAGTTGCTTAATTTTGGTGGTAATTTCCAGAAAATATTGTCTCTCTCTCTCTCAGTGAAATAGCCTGTCCAGATGCCCCCTTAAAAAAAAAAATCTGAATTTGGAAAAAGCTCAAAATCACTCCAAAAGGAAAGCGCTGAGAAATAACTAGAGCTGTCAGTTAGTTCAACTGTCAGTTCTCCAAAGATTTCAGGGCTTAAAAATGTTAAAAGTGCCAGATGCTATTATCTGTTATTCATGTTACCATTATGTTCTGGTCTTTGCTGAAATCAATATAAACTTCCATCTGTACATTAATGGAGTTTCATTGCTTGCTTGCTTTCTGGAGTGTGCATGCGTGAATACACACATGCTCTGCAGAAAATAGTGTGTTGAAAGCTCTGCAGAAAGTACTATTTGGATGGATTGGTCTGGTTTTCCTTTTAGTCTGGTATTCTTCAGAATTTTAATAGCATTTAATTATAAATCCCATCAAATAGAAAAGGAAAAATTATACATACACTTAGCTGTCATCGTCATCATTTAAAAGACCAAGAAGTAGGAATCATTGAAGATGTTTTCCCAAGGGTTTATCTCGCCATCTAAAGCTAAAACTCTAGAGATAAATGTGGTCCTTTGTGGGCTGCATATATTGACTCTAGGGCCAAGAAAGGCAAAGTTTGGGTATTCTTCTGGACCTTGGGAGAATTTTTCTTTTTTCAAAGGAGCACAGCTATGAAGTTCTTGTAGGCTTTTCTGTGTGTCTGTGTATGTATAGCTGCTGGTTTAAAGATTTAAAAATCTTACTCTGGAAAAGCTGATTCTATAAATCCGGAATTAAATTTTGGAAGAAAAAAAAAATGATATGGATATCATGTACATTAAAACTATGCATATAGATATACTTATGTGAGCCTTTATATTCCCATCTTATTTTTTTTTAATTATTCTGCAGATAATTAAATGAAATTGTGTATATCAATCTCAGTACTGTTGCATTTTGTCAAGTCCCAGTATGTAGAATTAATAGCCAGCCCTCTCTGTGCAATACGTATCAGTCAGTGACTTGAGGAATATCTCACACACAGAGGTTTCTTGTCCAACAATTGATAAAGAGATATCTTCCATTTGAGTTAAAGAACACAAGCTGTAACTGAAGACATTAAGAAACTCTGCAGTGTGAGCAGGCTGGTGTGTGCCTGGTCTTTATACATTTTTAAGATTCATCCATATATGCACATAATCTTTAGAGAAAACATTGTCTCCAAGTTCAGTAATACAGATGTAGTCTGTTGGATTAACTGATAAAAAAATGCACAAAACTGATAAGTCAACCTTCTTCAACATCCATTACGTTAAATGGAAACCAATCTACATAGGGCTTCTGAAGTTATCTTGATATCTGAACTCTGCAGCTGTCAGGAGAAGATCACCAATTTGTTGTTCTTTTAGAGCTTTTGATTTTATGGAGACTTACAATAGTGATAATCCCTGCAGAAGCTTTAATTTACATGTATGAAAGAAAGTCAGGACAGAACATGTGGAAAGACATAGTAATTAAATAAAACTCTCTTCCTGCTGCTTTAAGAGGAGAAACATCCACATATGCAACTAGAATCAGGATTTAACTTAATGCTGGAAAAACAGTCTCTCAGGTTGCTTGAATCTGGAACAAAGCTGGAGTTCCTTTTTCCATTTTCCGTTTTTATCTTCTTGGCTTCCATGTTTGGACGACTTTCAAATATTTAGTATTTCTATATGAATGTTTTAGCAATGCTGATCTTCTATATATATATATATAAGAAGATTACTCTTCTATTACTCCTCATGTAAAATTTTCCTTTGGAAATAAAATTCCAAGAGCCTAAAATACATGTTTACTTTTATATCTTAAAACATGACTTGTCAATTACTAGGAAAGAGTGTTTAGAAAAGAAGACATGCATTTTTGTTTTCTACATTTGTAGCAGATGAGATTATTCCCAAACGAACTAACCCCACAAATGTGGCTTCAAAAATCAGTAGTAATTGATATATCAATAATATGACATGAATTTCTATGTGTATGTATAGTGCGAGTTATAGTAGGCAGTAGGTAGTCAGTACCAGAAAGCAGAAGGAAGTCATATTGAAGATCCAGTCTCCAAACAGGCAAAGATGAGCTGCCAGAATTGACGACCATATGGAAGCTTTATCAGAAGAAACACCCCCGCAGAGCTTACAAGTCCCAGTAGGCAGAATCTCCATTTTCAGTCCAGATTCTTCTCAGCCCTCCACTATGTGCCTAACAGTTCTGCAGACATCCCTGCCCCTCTGTCCTGGCACATTCATCAGCTGCACAAGCCCAGAGAATCTACAGCACCAACCCCGAGAGTTTAGCAGAAGCTGAGAGGTCCTCCCCTTAACTGCAGGCAGCAGTTTCTGCTCCTACATGTGGTAATCTCAGGGTGCTACCTGCCTGAGAATCAGATTGAAGTTGCAAATCCAATGTGAGTTCCCAGCGAGGATTTATAGAGATTTAATAATTGATGCTAAGGGCTTTGAAGATTTCTTGAATGATGAAATATCCACAGAGCATTACTCCAGAAGGGAAAAACTTGACCTTCATAAAAATAGTAATAATTGAAGACATTAATACTCAAAACAGTAAAAATGGAGATATCTGAAATGATCAAAGTTTGCTTTTTTTTCAGAAAATGAAAATGTTATATTCTCCAGGGCTCTGGATTTCCAAAATGTCTCCCCAGGAGAGTGAATAGTCATAGGGGATACTATCTATCAAACAGGCTTGTAGCAATGATTTTAATCTACAAGTAGTATAAATCAATAGCTACCCTTACCAGCCTGCTGCTAAGAAAATCTGTGTTTTTCTTTTCAAGATTTTTATTTTATCAAGAATCTTGTCTTTGCATCAGATCATAGCTTTCTACCAACCTAGAAAGTGTTGTATTTACATATTTTTACATACAATAGTTTTTTTAATTTATGGTTATAATTTTTTTAATTCACAGTATGGTACAATGGTTCTCACTTCAACTATGTATAAAACACAATGAAGCACTTGCAAAGAAAAAGCAAGTATATACTTTCTGAAGTCTTGTTTGGCTCTACATTCAACAACTGCCTTAATTTTCTCTGTGTGTTTTTCTGTGGTCTTCATCATTGTTATATAAATGTAAGCCTGATTGTCCCTATGTACATATTAAAACAGCATTTACCTTCAGTAATAATTTCACAATATACAGTTCAACATTTTAAAAAGTCTACCTGCCAGTGCTTTGAATTACAATACATTAAACTTTCTTAATCACTCTTATTGTGGAACTTTTTAAAATGTTTGAAAAGATGTTCAAGCTATTTGTTGAACATGTAGAATTCTCTTGATGAGAGAAACATCTGTCCCACTCTCATCTAATATTTCAGAAAGACCCAGTGAGCTCTCCAGAAAACATGGAAGAAAAAAAGTATCCAGGAGAAGTCTCCATACCAAGTCCTAAACCCAAGCTCCATTCAAGAGATCTCAAAAAGGAACTCATCACGTGAGTCACAAAAAAGCGCCATGTTCCTCTACCCTTCTAAAGACTGAGTAAATTGTTTGTCTGAGTGCTGATTTGAAGTGCATTTGAGGGAGCTGAGCAGGGAGACCTTCATGACTGATCACTGCAGGTAGCTCCTGCTGTAGGTCAGCGTGGAGCTGAGACAAGGCAGAGGTAGGTCTTAGAGTCTGGACAGATTCAAGACTTATATTGTGCTCTATATCAGTTTTTATTCTTCATGTAGGTAGGTAACAAATGGACAACAGCTACAAGTAGTCTGTGTTAATGTTTATGTAATTGAATAAACTTTATTTGGAAAGTCTTTGTTATCGTTCCACTTCCAAGGATTTGTGGAGAAGTGCAGCAGATTTTGCAGACATTAAACATACAAATTTCAAAGGATAAAATGGATAGTGGATAGTGAGGAACTGCCCCAGGGTTTTCCAACCCGTAGGAAATAGGTTTAAGTTCTTAATTTGCTTCCTTCAAAGCATTCTGTCATTCTGTCCTTCTGTGTGTCATGTGACCTTCCAGTGGACTCACAAATTCATACTCTGGGAGAATAGGCTGATGCTCTCTTTTCCCAAGAAAAGAGACTAATTTGCTTAGTTTTAAACTCCAAAACTTTACTGTCAAAAACTGCAAAGAAATCAGGATAGTTTTTAAAAATTTTTTTGCACATAACAGCTTGTTTTGGTTCAGAACAGATTAAGTAAAATTATCACAACTAGCTCATAATACTGGTCACCTTTTAAAATCCCAGTTAGGCTCTTCGCAAAAGCCTACTGATTCATGTCAACATTGCTATCAATAGAGTGGTTTTTTTGCCATATGGGACTGAGTAATCATTTATTCCACTTTTCTTTTTGTCCCCAGTACAAAGTAGGTCTCTCTAGACAAGTGGAACGTAGTATTACTTAGTGATGGTAGTATATAATGTATCACTGCAGGCTCCTCCATAAATAAATGAGTTGCATCCCATCACCTTGTGTACTGCTCCCCATTTCCCTGGGGCAAGCTTCTGTGAAGAGTGATTCTTTCACCTCATGCCGTGCAGCCTGCATGTTGCCTACTCACCACATTGTATCTGTACTTGTAGTTCATGACCTAAATTGAAAGAGGTCGTGTTTGTTTTGCCACCTCTAAAATAACTGCGGACAAAAATACTCAGTTTATTTGCTGAAGACTCTAATGGCTTTTCCTTTGTATTATTTATTCCTCTGTGATACTGACCTGTTTTGAGATGGCTGTGAAACACTTTTCTAATCACCGAAATAATAATTCTCCACAGTATTTACAAAAACAATGATAATCTGATAGTGGTTTTATTGTATTTTTTTCACATGCCTAGTAGAAAGAGGCACCTAAGATATAGCTGTTCTAAAAATTAAATAAGAAATAGCTTTAATATATCAGCAGAATCTAGGTGCAATTATGGGAATCAGACTGCATTTCTGTGATCCTACTAAGCCTCAAAACTCATACAGAACAATCCAATACAGGTGGCTCCATCATGAGGAAGTTTTTAAAATGACATAAGCACTTGCAGAGAAAAAAAAAAAATTGACCCCATTATCTCATTTGCAGTGAACTACCTATATGAATATCATCTTACTGCATGTGCCTCCTATTTTTCCATGCTGATTCTCTTTACCAAAACTACACTGCTCAGGATGAAGTGAGCTGTGATATCTTGCTAAGGCTTTTTTACAGATTTGAAAAGTTCCTAGCATTCTGCCACTTCAGAGAAAATAGGCAGGTGAGGATCTGAGGTACGCTTTACTCATGGAGCACTAGCTAAATGTTTCTGTACAGCTTCTGATTGCCCTTCTCAACTATGGGTCCAGCAAAACACAGCCATTTATAAGATGACTGCAGGGCTGCTGTTAGAGGTTTTAAAACATTGTAGAAGGGTATCCTCATCCACGCACAGATTGCATTTCTTTCAAAGGATCAATTGGGATCTATCTGATAAATGATCTCAGTGTTATGACTAAAACTGAGTTGAGGAAAAAAATGACATTTTCTCCAGGTCAAACATGCCTCCATCTCTTGGCATAAAGGAAAAAAAATCCATTATGCTGAATGTACACCACTTTTATGCCACTTCTCATTTCAGCTGTGAAAAATCCCAGGAAAACACACTCATTCTGAACTTTAGCTAATACATTTTCTGTTCTGCAAGCAACCATAGCATCTATTTCTCACTTATGTCAGTAAATAAAGATCCTGAATGCATTTCTAAAGAAGGTGCCTTATTTTAGTGAGAAACTAAAGGAATGATTTGGGATATTATCGTTCTCAGGCTTGTGTTACACACAAGATCAGATTGGAAACTTTACCTCTAGGATTTATGAACTGCAGTTAAAAATTGGTAGCAATAGTGAAGTTTCTTTTCAAGAATCTGAGTTGTAACTGAAAAACCTATGCAAAGCAAGGTGGTTTCACATTTGAATAGATCAAAAAAAAATAAGGTTTTGACTGATTTGCATGGTGGAAATAGGAAGTTTTTTCCTTCTATGCTTCAAATACTAATTGAAAACTAGAACTGTTATGTAGATTTTGTTAGTTTTTGTGGTGTCATGATGGTATTGAGATGGGTTATGATGACTATGATTGCCCTACATATCATTATGTACTTAATTGCAGGGTAAGCTATGTGATGTGTTGTACATGCTCTAACCTCTCACTGCATCTTTGCATAGCTGTCCAACTCCAGGATGTGATGGTAGCGGTCACGTAACAGGAAACTATGCCTCACATCGCAGGTAAGAAACAACAGGAAAACCAAAGCAGGAAATAGTGCTAATTTTATCTCCTATCATTTAACTATTTTAATATATTAACCATGGATAAGTATTCAAAAGTAATTTACAGAAAATAATCCATACAGAAAAGTGTCTGTTTTTTCCTGTTTTATATTTTGTAGAAGGTCTGGACTCAGTAGTCTGATGGATTTAGGCAGCATATGCTTATTACTCAAGATGACTTAGCAGAGACATGTAGATAAGTCATTTAGTAAAGGTTGCATTTCCCTAAGTGAACAAGCACTCTCTATACAGATGAGATATTGGATGGGATTTTAAATAAGGTTTCTGTAGATACCTCTGCAAGTGGCTTTGAAATTAACAGAACTGCCAATACATTCTGTAGCTGCAAATTATTTCCTTCAGAATAGCCTACTGTCTACCTGGGGGTTGAAACAGTATTTTTTTCTGTTTCTTTTTGAGTACAAGATGGAAGCAGCCACATGGACCAGATGCTCTACCTGCCCTTTGTGTAGAAAGGACTCCGCATAACACCACATTGCCATTTAATGCTTTGCAGGGACTTAGAAAACTCTAGCACTAACCATATATGTTTCCAGTAATTCAAGACTCAGAGTCTGGCATAGATTGTTCTTCCTTTGTCAACAGGAAATATTTGAGGGTCTCTTTTTTTCCCATTTTTAGTCACAGATTTTATAAAGATTGTTGTTTTAGGAAAAGAATATACACATTTTGTTTCAGTGAAACATTCTACATTGTATTTTTCAGTGTTTCTGGGTGCCCATTAGCTGACAAGACATTAAAATCCCTTATGGCTGCTAACTCTCAGGAGCTTAAGTAAGTATTAATAATAATAAAAATGTAATTCTTACTTATCTTTGATCAACATGTTCCCTACAGTAATTGAGTTGTTCATTTGAATTACTCTGAGCAGTGAAGTATGAAATATTTCAGTGAAGTTCACTTATTAAAACAGAGTTTATTTCTCTCAATTTGCCTTTCTTGTTTTTAGTATCCCTTCATTTTCATGAATTAGCCAAGACATGAAGAAAAAATACTGAAAACACTAAGAGTAACAGTATTTTTCATTCAGAAAGAAAGAGAAAAATATTTAAAACGTACCACTGATTAGGGAAGATAGAATAAATCAAAAAACTAGACCAGAACTCCTGCTTATCATTTTTTATCATTCAGTACCATATACTATGCGTTTAATGTCATTGAAGCAGACATCGAGTCACATGATTTTGTGCTGGCATAATTTTCACCATGAAATGTCACTTACAAAAGGACTGTGCGGGCTCTGCTATATAGACAGATGTATAGGGACATATGAATATTTCAGAAATCTGTAGTCAAGAGAGGCACTGGCAACCAGTCATCTAGTTATTGAATTGCCTTTGTCAATAAGGACATGGGGAAGAGGAAAGGATAATTAGAGTTCTTTCATAGCTTTCTCTCTGCATCTTGTAAATTGGATCCTGTAATAGATGGCTTGGAAATCTCATGGATGCATGTAAAAAGAGAAGAATCCCGTGACCATCCTTTCTGTCCTTTAGGTTCATCCCCAATCCAGACAGAAGAAAATAAAGTCCTACTATGGCACAGTTATGCTGATAAGATGATATTTATGACTGTACTGATTACACATAGATTTGGCTCAGTGCTTAGTCACAAGTTAGCTTACCTAGATCAAATGCTAGTGGTCTCATTCTTTAGTCCAATAACATGAATTTAAAAAAAAAATGAACTGATGGTAGCTATGGACATGAATCTGCTAGAGATGCATCAAAATGGAAAAAAAGGTCCATTTATATGGGCAACTGCTTGAAGCAGTTCTGAAATTTATTAGGGAAACTAACATACTGGCACAGTATTGCATTGAGTCTCAAATGTATAAAATTTAATTTTAGTATTTTTTTAAAAGAGCAGCACAAGAAGCAGGGAACTGACTTGTGAAAATGCTGACAAATTTGAAATCATTTGCTGAGTCATATGTATTTGTCCCTGCTTTTTCTGGCTTTCTGCCATACATAGACACTCACACAAATATTTTGAATAGTTGCTCTTCATGCAGCCCCTCCCCCCCATATTCATGTGTGAATAAAGAAATTTGCATACCAATATGGTTATTTTTCCACTAAAGCTTCTAGAGTTTTGGTCATGCCATAAGGAAAGAGGAGCAACAGCATATGACTTAAATGACAAACTGCACATTGTATGCCATGTATTATAAGTGAGTTGTGAAAGACAAAGTCAAAGTTCATGAACGTTTCACAGACATAAATATGTTGCATAATGCACTTAGCATTTAATTTCAATTAGCTAGAAAAGAGCAAAAATCAAAATCTGTTCACAGACAATTTGCAAAAGGGAAAAGGGCGATATAAAATCATTTTCCACAAATGTACCAACTTGTTTTAGCTTCTTGCAAATGTAATTCAGGTGAAATTTTAAATAAAATTCTGCTTTTGATAGCAACTAAATGAAATCTTTTGCTTCTCATATAGTACAGTGATACCAATAATTAGTTTTACTTCACAGAGATGAGAGTAAAGGGCATAAATGCTCATAGAATCAGGCCACCAAAGTACCCTCATGTAGTTAGGCGTGAAGATGAAAAAGCTGTGTATTTTTTCCAAATGTTATTCATGTTTAATTTGCCAGAATCAAGATATGATTTTGGCTTTAACTGTGAATCTCTAAGCCAGCAAAGATACAAGGCTTCCATGTGATCTACAGTTTGGAAATAAGGAATATCTGTTCAAAAAGTAAATCTTTGAGTCAAATTCAAGAAATTTAATATCTGAGAAATTCTCATTGCACTGCGCAATTTAAGATGGTTGAATTAAAATACACTAATGTTGATAGTGGATTTTTAAGCTATTATGGAGAGTTGTGATTTAATTCACTTTCATTTCACCAAAGAGATGCTTATCAAACCTTAAACAAGTTTAAAAGTATACTATATAAAAATGTGTAATTAGAGTTCAGAAACTGTAGGAAATGGGTAGATTCCATATACCAACTTGGTAAGTTATCCATATTCCATCAACAGCCTGACATGTTCTAATCAGTACTTTTTTTAGGTGACCTGTGTGGGTTTGCCTTAGGTAAAGTTCCTATCCAACCATTTCTTAGAGCTTTACCATCAGTAGAAGTATCAGAAGTGCTCCTAGGTTCTCAGCTGAGTGTGTCGATTTTATGTGAAGTTGTAGTTTGTCTACCTAAAGATAGAACAACATTGAAAAGGGGCACAAAATGGCAGGTACTTGATGCATGGTTACAAAAATTGCTGTGCGAAATCGGTGAGATTTGTTCTTAGAAAACAAACTTGATGAAGTGTAAAAGGATCTGTAACCTACACCCATTCAAGAGCTGAATCATCATTTAACTTGAGATCCTGCGGCCTCTGACCCACCAACACATATCTGATTTTCTTGGCTCTGCACAGTAACTCCCTAAGCTGGGGCATCAGTTCAAACTCATCAGCCAGTTTAAAGCTGATCAAGATCCACATTAGTACTGACTGAAAGGCAATGCACTGTTGGTAAATCTTGTGTTGTGAAATTTCACAATATTATTAACATCTTACCTTCATATCTTTAACACTCTCAAGAATGCTTTGAATTCCAATCTGGTAGTAAAGTCTAACTGCTACCTGGGGAAGCAAATGCAGATGGGGAGATTCAAATTGTCTCACTTTACTTTTTTGTCCATAACTCTCAGACTCATGATGTGAATGTTTTCCATAAAGAACCCTTGGTAGATTAAAATTTGTGTGCAGTGTATACAGACAACTCTTCCATCTGTGATCATCTGATAAAACAAGTAGCCCAAATTAATACCCATAGTATTTGGCAGGTATTCTGGCTTTACTGGTGAGCATTCACTCTCTCCAGACATCTGCCCTAACTGCCTGCTTCATATAACATTGTGCCCAGTCCTTGTCCTATGCTCAGAGAGGTCAGCATTATCTGGCACTATGCAACCCACACCTCTACCTTTGCTGTCATTGTGAAGCATATTATTCTGCCCAAATATTTTTGTTCAGAAAATATCATCATGAAATATTTTGAAATTGTTATTTAAAACAAACAAACATACAAAAATAAACAGTTTTCACTTTCTTCTGTTGAAATTATCTGCTGAATTCTACTTGAATCACTGAGTAAATCTGGTTATGTCCAAAAGAAAAAGATGTTCAAATATTCAAAGATACAACTGCACATGTAGACATGATAGTACAGTTATACATGTAGAAGTTTTCTGTGGCAGCGTACAAGCAACCTGATCAAATCAGCCATCTTCTCATCTCAGGCAAGATTCAGTAACAACCAAGATCCATAGGAGATTCCTTAATGGTTCAGTCAAAATTGTTTGGCACAACTCCTGTAATTCTGAAACTTGTAAAAATCATAGCATTTAAAAGGCCTTTAGGGATAGTTAACAACCTGGTGCTGTAGAACACAGAAATGTGGAAATGGCTGGCACTGCTTCTAAAGGTAAATATTTTCCTTACGCTCCTTTCTGTGTTGAGGCATGTTTCTCTAAAAAAACAAAAAAAATAAAAAAAACAACAACAAAAAAACATATACAAATTCAATAAAAAAATGACAACAAATGACCAAAAAAAAAAAAAAAAATTAGTCTGAATGACTGCTTCACCAGTGGAAAGTGATTCAGTAAGGTCCTGCTCCCAAGCCCACAGAAGTCAGAGGAAAGACCTACTGACTCCAGCTGGCTTTGGGAGCCCACTTTTCATGTAGCACAAGTCCCAGACCACCGGCAATGATACATTAACAGGCAAATTTGTTTATTTTCATTGTATGGATGAATTAGTACTAAATATTCATTCTTGAAAGGCTTCTGTTTTTTGCACACGCACACACACAAAAGCCCTTAACTATGAGATGTAAACATAATCCAATTGCCAAGCTGAATACCCAATTGAATCTAGAGTTAAATAGACAGATATCCTATTGTATAATTACAGTGCTAGGAATATACAAACTACTAAATTCAAATTCTGGCTATCACACTAACTCTATTGATGTCCAAAAGTAAAACTGCTTCTCTGCTTCCATTTTCCCTTTTGTAAATACTGGCAAAGTGCTTATTTGTATCTGTACCTGTGAATATCAGAAGGATAACAAACAAATACATAACAGTAAATTTACAAATAGATCTATATCAATCCGCTTTTTGCTTGTTTGTTTGTTTGGCTCTGTACAAGGAAAAATGTTTGGTGCAAACAGTGTTATGAATTGTTTAATTCCATATATCATATGCAGTACATTTAATGTTCCTTACTAAAATTCAATTATATTTTTAAAAAAAGTATTTTGCATATTAAAAAAAAAAAAAATCAACAAGAACTAGCTTTAATTACTCAACAAAAGCTATGTGGTAGAAGCATTCTTTCACTCTAGACAAAAAGCACCAAATACATGTTACTTACTGCTATCTTCAAAGTCATGTAAGCTCCTTATGTAATTCTATAGGTGCCCAACACCTGGTTGTGACGGCTCTGGCCATGTGACTGGGAACTATGCATCACACAGAAGGTAGGGACTGTCCCATGAATTGAGACTGCAGCACTCGGGGTTATTGGCAAGCAACATCCTAAAGAGGTGGATTTTGTTCTGTGTGCTTCTTGCAGCTTATCTGGTTGTCCCCGTGCCAGAAAAGGTGGTATCAAAGTGACTCCTTCCAAGGATGAAAAAGAAGACCCTGAACTTAAGTGAGTACAAATGTGTAAGTCGTTGTGAAGGGGGAAAAAACAGTAAGAGTTGAAGGGATGAAACATCATAAGAATTACCCAAGCCATCTGACAATAAGCCCAATGATGCTTCAGCTTTTAGTGAAGCACGTGGAGTCCATCACATTGGAGCTTGAACAGCGAGGAAGACTCGTTCTATTTTCTTGTACCGTTCCTACTGGTTTAAACTGATAAAATTTCACTTGAAGTGAAAACTGAAAATTCAGTGGGTATTTACTGCATTCCTTACTTGAATGCAAATTCCATTAAAATCAGTAAGCAATAACTGCCAGAATACAGATGTGAAGATTTTTTGCACTCATTATTTTTCTTACTGCTTGCTAATGATATATGAAAGACTGCATAACAGTGGCAGAGCAACTAAAATAAAAATTAAAATTAAAATCCTAAAGCTTTCTTTCTTCCTCTCTTTGCATATGTTTCCAAGAGTTTTCCAGTAACATGGATCAGAATAAGTTTGAACACAGCCTCAACTTCATGTCAAAAACACAGAGAAGAGAGAATGCTAATGTTTCATATACCTACAGGTTGTGATTTATAGCCTATGATAGAATTTCAATTTTCTTTTCTGGTAAAATACTATCTAAACAAATGGTTTTGTTTCTTAGGCTGCACAACTTCACTTTACATTGCTTAAGCTTAAAATTAGGTGAACCTCAGCTTGACATGAATTGAATGCTCAGGTATAGTGCATCTCTGGGGACCAAGCATTAATATACCAATGCAAAGTGACATAGGTAGCTGAACATATTTTCTCAGACTTTCTTGAGACTGCTTTCAACAGATGTCTCTAGTAAAAACCAGGGTTCTTTTGCTGTGTTTCTGTAGATGTCCAGTGATAGGCTGTGATGGCCAAGGTCACATATCAGGTAAATACACTTCTCATCGCACTGCTTCTGGTTGTCCTTTGGCTGCCAAGAGACAGAAGGAGAGTCCCGTCAATGGGTCTTCACTATCCTGGAAACTGAACAAACAAGAGCTGCCACACTGTCCTTTGCCAGGCTGCAACGGGCTGGGTCATGTTAATAATGTTTTTGTCACCCACAGAAGGTATAACTTTGTGTTTTCTTTTTCCTTTTTCCTTAAAGTTCCCCTGTTGAATTGGCAACAAATGAGGTTACAGTCTGAATAAATTGTGCAGAGGTCATTTAAATAATGAGATAGTTTACACTGAAACTAAAGTAATATGGATCAGAACGAGCTTGAGACAGCTTGGATCAACTTTTAACTCTTATTTTACGTTCCTCTTGCAATGTGACTTCCCAAGGTCTTTTTATTCAGATTAACAGTTTCTATACGATTTAAAATTTAATAAGAGTTCTGTCCTAGGCAAATATGAAGTTGGATCTGTGTATCTTTTATAGAGAATTCAAATATCATTGAAATGTCAACAAAAGGGATTAAGCAAGAGCAATGTCTGCATTTATTTAATCTTTTTACCAGTGGCAAACTTATTTTCATAAACTTCGTATTTAAATTGCTAGAACTGCACAAAAAATTAAACAAACAGAACTCATGGATCACACAAGTTTGCTGTTACAATTTTACAAACAAAACTGTCTTTACAAAGTAGGAATCACACATATAGCCAGTGTTCAATAAATATCAGATTTTTATATATTAAGAAGAAAGCATTAATATCATTTGAACATGTTCAATCAATATTACTCAAAGAATCCGTCTACAGAATCAGAAATACTGCTTTGTAAAGTTTGATCTTCTTTGCATAGAGGGAATTAAATTTCTATTTTACACCTCCTTTGCTTTCTTTTTAACATCCTGAATCAAATTCTCTAATACAAGAATGTCCAATATGACCTGAACCAATTCAGTCAGAGGAAGTTCAGTATGATTCAGCAGAACTGTGTTCAAATTTCACAGCCTCTAAAACTGGTTGTTTAAAGGTTCCCCAGCAAGCTCCATTGCTCTTACTTTTCCCTTTCCTTTCAATCCTTGGGTTCATTCTAATGAGCCACTCCTTTTTCTCACACTTTTCTCTATCTCAGCCTCAAGCCTGTGGCTCTGCTCCAGCCCACTCCCAGCTCAGCACAAGACTTTGTTTTTCCTTATTTGGTTGTAATATAGTTACACAGAACTCCTAGCTCAGCTGCTAGGACAATGTCTTGCAGTTTGAGTGACCTCTTACCAGATCTGTCTGCAGCAAAGTTTTGTGGTTGTGGTGGATTCATTAGCTCAAGAGTCAAACTCTTTGCTCTGCATCCATTTCTCATTATGTAGCCTTTGATACAGAGAGACTGCCAGTCCTCAGAAACAACCACCCAGGATGGAAAAGTATATCACAAATCCTTCACTGAAATTTTAGGCAGCCTACACATGAACCTTAACTTTTAATGCCAATGCCTTATCTATATGGCAGATGTAGTGGAATCAGACCACAATGGGAATGCTGAGGGATAAATTTCTTAAAGAATTGTGAATTGTTCATATGCAAATTTACCTATATCAGAGAAGAAACCTCCAAAGCAGTGGATTTATCCAATGTTATCCTAAATTTATGAGCATGGTAAAGAGTTTACATTACAATACTATTGAAAATTGGGGCTAATTAACTCACATTATGCAATATGATACCTTCAAACCAATAAAATAAAAAATTGGTCTCTTAGATTACTTCTGTCCTGCTTGAGGCTGGATCACTCTTAAGATCATATAATTAGTATAGGTTTATGATGTTATATCCTTACCTAACAAACTTGAAACCCAACAAACCACCCAATGACTCCGAGACAATGACAGCTCTAGGCTGAGCTCCAGACCAATATTCTAAAAACAGAAAACTAGCACATTTAGCTAAGCAGGCATGAAGCAAACTTAAACCTTCCAAAGTTTTATTTATTTATTTATTGACTTATTTATTTCCTTTGTAGAAACACCATTTCTACATTTTTTCCACCAAATAACAGTAATAATAAAATAAAAATAAATAAAAATAGTACTAGGAAAAGTTTTTTCTTTATTCCTTACTTGGCTACATCTAAATACAAAGTCTTTTTGCCAGTTCTTCAGCATGTGGTATTTCTTCTTTGTTATTTTTAAGACAGTGTAATTCATCTTAGCCCTTTAGTAGGCAATAAAAATTGCCTCAGATAATTACCAGCTGATGAAATTGTAAGAACTGAAATAGCAAAATATAATTTAATGTGAACAGTGGTTAAAAAGCAAGCTGATTATATAATAGAACCATTCAAAAAAGCTATTATGGTCTGTAGGGTATACCCAGAGTTATTATTGTATTGATCATTATTATATATCAACAAAATAATGCAGTAACTGTGTGCTGTGGAAATCAACCCATTAACAATCTATTTTTTTAAGAATGGTAAATGTGCCATTTTAAAGGACCATCTGCCACTCTCCTCTGAAGCATAATCACTCAATAAAAACAATAGAGTTTTTGTTTGTTTATAAGTGCTGGAACTTCAAGAATTCTGTAAATGCATCTTCACGTAACTTTACAATAGCTTTTGATTATTCTGAAATATGCTTAAACGTTGTTTACTTATTGGTTGAGATATCTGTTCCAATTTTCAGGCTGGAATATGCAGTTAAATAGCTCTTTATGAGTTATGTCATTCCCTGAAGCTATGCTATAATGGAGATACTGATGTGACCTTAGATACAGAGGTCTGTCCAAGTGCATGATAATATTGCCTGAAAGGATTGTTGCCATTTTCAAGTGGGTGCTAATGTTTTTTTTCCTATCTGTTTCAGCCTATCTGGTTGTCCTCTGAATGCACAAGCCATAAAAAAGGGCAAAATTTCGGAAGAGTTAATGACTATCAAGCTTAAAGCAAGTGGTGGTAAGGAGATCTGTAAAAGACGATGACATTTATTCAGATAGAAGGGCCTGGACTCCCATTTATACTCAGGCTCCTTGATGCCATTCTGGCATTAACTGTCACCCCTTTCAGTTGTCTCTAGCAATAACTAAACTTGAATAACAAAAATCTTTGCATGAAAGATTATGAAATTCAACTCATTTACAGCATGATAATTCAACAAAGAGTATGATCTTTTATCTCAGAACATTATTACTATTTTTTTTTTTTAATTTGGAGATGCTCTTACTATTGTAATTAGTAATCAATTACTAGTTACAGATCAGAAGAGCTAGCTGATGTTGGCTAGTCATTAGACTAACGTAGAAGGGAGATAAATTGCTTGTGGAAGTTGACTCCTCTTCTCAACTTTAATACTACATGTTTCTGTGCAGTGCTTTGAAAATTTTTCTAGCCCATATAGTAAGAATAAAGGAACAACTACCAAATAGATATAAGGGGAAATGTGTAGGAGTTTGCTTTCTTATAAAACATGCTTTAGAAAACTGGGCATTGAGCCAGGATGAAAGGAACTTGCCTTTATGCTTCCAATAGCTGAGCAAAACAGTTGTGTTACATTGGGCAAGTGATTTTGCTTTCATGTGCATCTCTGTCCACATTATCTGTGGGAGAGGAATTGCTACTGACAGATTTCCCAAGTTGATTCCCCAGCAGACTCAGTTCAGGGCTGTAGAATTTAAAAAAGAAACACTCCTGATACTTTTTTCAAGGTGGAATTGGTTTCAGAATGATAGTGAGCAGAAAGACAGACATGTATTTCCAGCAGCTGTAGCTGCTAAATATTTTTCAGAACACGACTTTACTAAAGATCCAAAGATAATTTTCTTCCCTACCTAACTTGTAGGGATGTAAAAGTCCTCCTTTCTTCTTTTTTTTTCTACAATGTTTTTTAGATTTTGGTGTCATTCACATTTCACACATACATAAGGCTATGATCTAGGAAATTATTCCACATAGAATTTTGCCCCGACATATTTTCCTGAAAGATCAGAAACAGGTAATAATAAACAAACTAACTAACTAACTAACTAACTAAATTGTAAATGCTCCCTCATATTTTATGATACACTTTCCTCCTCCCAAGTATTTGTGTAAGTCTTTTCCTTTCTCTGGCTAAAAGCTGGAAAAAAGAACTGTCAAATACAAAAACTCAGAGAGCAATAACTTTCCCTTAGATGTTTCAGCTCATATAAAAGTTTTACAGCTAGAAAACAAATTTGTCAATAAAAGCAAAGTAAGAGGCAAATTAAAGATCAATAATTTGATCAAAAGCCTGTTATCTCCCTCTTGTTCAGTAACAGCACTATTTGTTACTCATATATCCATTTAGATGTGAACACTTTACATCTGATATTGATATTTTCAACTATTTACAGGTATTGAGAGTGATGAAGAAATCAGACATTTGGATGAAGAAATAAAAGAACTGAATGAATCCAATCTTAAAATTGAAGCTGACATGATGAAACTTCAAACCCAGGTATGACATCAAAGCCGAAGTTTTAGTTTTTCTTGTACTATGGTTATAAGCATACTTTTCACTCTGTAGCATTTAAAATTGCAAAAAACCCAACTGCTTTTTTGTCAAGTTTTTTTAATCTATTTTCTGTAAGTAAGTAGCAGGTTCGTGGGAATTATTATGAAGATCTACTGAGTGATAGGTTGATGGCAGTTTAGAGCTAATCTTGGCTAACAGAGAAACCATATTTACCAAACAAAACATTCATTTTCCCTTGTTGACCAAACCTCTGTTAAACACACCACAGAGAATCCCATGATTGCGGTAAGAACCCAGGCTAGGAAAGGCATCAGGAGCCCACTCTGACTCTTATTACATGCTAGTTTTGTTGTTTTGTACTTAAGGAAATCTCCCTAGCTCAGTTCACTCACTGACAGTTACTCAAATAGTTCAAATTTTGCCTCCAGGCAACAGCTGGTAAAGAATGGATGCCTCTTGTTAACTGGTAGGGCAGATTAGTTGAAGGGGGAGCTGAGGAAATGTCATTCATTGTCATTCTTTTGTAAACTGGCAAGATGGCATTAGCCTCCAGGTGCCAACTGTGATCTTTGGAGAATGTTCCTCCACAGAGAGACTTCTGCATGCACCTGAGGGTTCACCCGAGTAAATCAGATTGAAATAAGAGCTCAATATTTTAGGAACAGTAAGATTTTTAGAGAATAATTCCTAAATAAGAACAGATCTGGTAACAGAATGCAAGTCTAAATGGATCCAGAGCAGAGTGCAACCACACCCCTCTACATTTGCAGAATGCTCTCAGTGCTTATTCGTGCTGTTTTTATAATATCCAGAGAGTGTATAGTCTAAACACAGGCAAAGTTTATGCCACCTGCACTGAGTCTAAATGCAACCATACTGCAATGGTTGTATCCATCCCAAACCAAATAGCAGTGAGGTTTTTTTTCAGTGTTTCTGGACACCGCTTTCAGTTCTTTCTGTTTGAACAGAGATGGCCTAATTTATGCAGCTAGCTTTCTCCTCTGAATTCCTGAAGACTGAAGAAGAAGGGTGATCAGCAAAGCCTGAACTAGATCTGTAGCAATGTGCTTGCTACAGGGCTTTGCTCTATCCCCTTTTAATCTCCCTAGATCAGGTGCTTGGCTGCCTGGAGCACACTCCATAGGACAGCCCTCAGGGGTGCATGCAGGCAAACAGGGTTCCTCTCCCTGAGGGTGTGTGAAGAAGGAGACTAAACTGACCAAAACAAGGAGAGATTTAAGCAGTGCGGAGAGATGTGGGCCTAACACTTGCAGATGTGCTGTTGCACTGTGCCTTCCAGGGCCATGGGAAGCTATTGCAGTGGCTGCATTGGGTGAAGCACCAGACCCTGCCATTGTGGCCTTCAGTTTTTCAGCACAACTTTTGACATATAAACTTTCACAGCTCAGTATGTGCCTTCTGTTCTCATGCAGAAATGATACCATTTCACTTCCTCAGGTACATTTTTATGCTGTTTTTAAACACCTGGTGTTTCCATTTTGTTCCTCAGAGATCTCAGCAATCACACACACAGCCTCTCAATTTCCTTCCTGCTTGATTTTTCTCCTACTGATTCCATCACATTCCATTCCATCTATTCCATTGATTTTTTTTCTTGCTAACCCAGGCAGCTCACAGCTCTACCCTACATTTAGCAGTGAGGCAGGGAGGTAGCATAACAACTAAAAGCTGTGTCATGGCCATTGTGGGCAACCAGCAGGGTATGCTTTAAGACAGCAATGCAAACATCAGCCTCCTTTCTCTTATCTTCCACCATCCCTGAGGCCACACTCTCCATCCCAGTGTCCCCCCTTTCCCCTCTGACCTCATTTCCCTGCTCAAAGTGCTCTCCAGTGCCTCACTGACACAGGGTTTCTCTGTGAACACACAGCAAAGTCCATTGATTCAGAGTGAACACAACTTGCTGATTATTCTATGGAGAGGTTATATCCATCCTTTAAAAAGTGCCTGAGTTTCAGACCCACAGTGTGACAATGTGACTGCCAGTTTGGGCTCAGCACTGCCACAGTTCCGTCTGTGTGACTGTCTGTTTTATAGATCACATCTATGGAGACCAACCTGAAAACAATAGAAGAAGAGAACAAACTCATAGAGCAGAACAATGAGAGCCTGTTGAAGGAGCTAGCTGGTTTAAGCCAAGCCCTCATCTCCAGCCTTGCTGACATTCAGCTTCCACAGATGGTAAGACCACAGCCAGTGGCTTCACACCTTCTTTGAGATTGTATTGCCAGCACCTGAATCAAATGAGCATGCTCAGGGACCGATGGAAGCACTATTGCTGCATTAGTAGAGCTCTGCTTAGCCTAATTTACTCCGCGGAGATGCTGGATCTTGGACTCTGCTTGATATCAGACTCAGCTGCTTCCAGGACTGAGCCAACACTGTCATTTCTGCCCTGCACAAGCTTTTACCCCTCCCCAGCTCAGTGTCCCCCTGCACAAGGTGTGAAAATTTCACACTGAGAATCTGTCTTTACTCTTAGATCAGAATTTTGACCTGTTTCACTGAGCTCAGTGCTGTGATCCTTTTAAGGCCAACAAAACTCTGCCTATGAAAAACTCCATGTCCTATATGTCATCCAAACACAAATCCACCAAGGTAGTTAGGTAGTTAGGTCTGCAGAAATACAGTCTCCTTTCCCAGTCTCAGGAAGGGCACTGGGAAATTAGGTAAGGACAATTACAGGGATGTCAACCATAATCCCAGAGCCTCGATAGATAACGTCTCAATAGAAAAGCAATTTATACTGAAGATAATATCTCAGAACCTTTTCTTGCCTGGAATGTGCTTGGATGCCCCAACACATGAAAATCCCTCAATTTCTACAATCCCTCTATTATCTTGGATGGTTGCTGTGTTTATGACTTCTCCCCAGTTGCCATGTCAATGCTTTTCTATGCTTTGGAGTTGGGTGTTTGTGTTCCTTTGGCCTTCATTTTATCTGCTACAATTATACTCTGTTTTGTCTTCATTTAGGGGCCAATCAGTGAGCAGAATTTCGAAGCATATGTAAATACACTCACAGACATGTACAGCAATCTGGAACGGGACTATTCCCCCGAATGCAAAGCTCTGCTGGAAAGTATCAAACAGGCAGTGAAGGGCATCCATGTGTAGGATGTGAAAGCTGCTGGGCAACAGAAATTACTTAACAGCAGTAAACTCCAGATGGATCTGTTAGGAGTTCATGTACTGCTAAGGGGTGTAGGTTGCCATGCTGCATTTACAATTGCAACATTGCACTAATTTTTTCCCAGCTGACATAAAAAAAGAATAAAAACACAACAGACTATTTGTATTAACAGCAATGCACTCCGTTAGTATATTATATTTATTTCAGTACAATTCCTTTTTTTTCTTCTTTTGCACTCAGTTTTTGTAAAGTGAATGTAAAAAGTGTGTGTGACTATTTTTTATATTTTTTATTTATTTCTAATCAAAGAGTTGTTTTTTTTTATCTTTTAACAGCATTTTTGCGGCCTGCCATATTTTTACAAATGTGTTTATTAATTTATTTTCCAATGGGATTTTAAATAGACTGAAAGTTATACTGTAAATTAAATAACTTGCTGGGTTTGTACAGGAAGAAAAAAAGCTATGAGAGTAACAAATGACGGAACTGTGGTTCTAGTTTTATTTTCCTCACATCCTGCTTTTTTATAATGGCTTTTTATCAAAAATGGTTTTGCAGTAACATGAGATGTGAAGATGCATGGACTGAGAAGATAAATGGTGCCCACTAGTGGGGAACTCGGGCTCTTAAAAGCACAGTATGCTGGAAAACAGTGTGTTAAAGAATACGTTAGCAATAATGAAATATAGCAATCAGCAAAGCACTTGACTTGGCTGTGTGATTTAGCCTATGCGAATGATTATTTAAAATGTTTCAAGAGAACTTCAAATTTATTTTACCACTGCAGTTTTTTTCAGAGTTAGCTTACAGAGGGAAATGACAATTATCTCTAAACAAGAACGATAATTTGATAGGACTGGTACTCTTTTAGTACGATATGTTGAGATTTTAACCAAGTGACCAGTATTGTTATGGATTTGGAACCGAAAAATGCAAACACACCCCAAGCCGAAGAATTTGTATATAATTAATCAAACACATCTCCCCTGAAATGGCATTCAATACTGGTTTGAACTTAACAGCAGTGAAGAAGGCAGCAGTCTGGAGGGGAATATTAATCCAGCTCAGTGGTGTTGCCCTTCTCACTGAACGAACAGTAGCAACACAGTGATTGGTTTCTCCCATCCGTATTCACCAAGACTAGTCTGATACTGGGTTGGTTGCCAGTCCTTCAGTAGGGTACCAGGCACTACAGGACATCCAGGCACAGGGGATGGGGACATGCAGCTGTTCAGAGCAGCTTATGCGTGCCTCCCTCACTGGTTAGCCTGGGCTTGGAGTTTCTGAATCCGTCAGAAATTAGCGGTTGCTATAACCGAGGCATTGTCTATTTCAGGGATTGTAAGTAATTAAGCATTGTTTCAGAAGTTTTTTTTATATTTATTTTTTTTAACAAAAAGGTATAAACAACCAGCTAAACTGCCTTTTTTGTATGCACACACACCTCATGTGCATATGTGCCTCAGTGTAAATGTATACATGGATCTAGCGTGCGTTTAATTTTTCCGTGCTATAATGAAAGTGTTTATTTTTATTAGCCTCATTTATATTTAGATTGAATATGATGGCATTCACAGGCTTGACATATACAATTATATTATTACTGTTCCTGCACAAAAGAACTGTTCAGAAGTGAGTAAACTCTCATGCACTGTGGTCACTGTTCTGCATTAGGTGGAGCTTGCTTTTTTGTTTGAGAGTTGATTCAACTCTCCAATCCTAGTTTAGACAGGGGGAAATGTATGTTCTTAGGAGCTGTGTTTATTTTTAAATCAGTTTTTCAAAAGCTACCATACGTGCTGTCTAATATAAATAGGAAGACACCAAACAAAAATTTGCTATTAAAGTTATTGTACTCGCTGAAAAAAAAATCAAAAAGCGAACATTTGTTATACTCGTTAAATGCATACAAAATGAGTTCACTCATTACAAAGACTAAAATTTAATTTACTAAATATTTTAACAAATTTGTTATATATTTTATTTAAGTAAAAAAAAAAAAAATCTCTTACCTATGTATTTATTATTATGATTTACTCTGGCTTCAGGTTAATTTATCTGTGTTTGGTTGTTTGCTCAGGACGTTCTGTGAAGTATGTTTGTATTTATTTGCCTCCCTTGTACTTGATGTGTTTTGTAATGTGCACTGATTTTTTTTTTTCTTTTCATTTTTCCTTTTTTTTTTTTTTGTGTTTAAATGCATTTATGAGCTACACTGTAAATTAGATCTTTTGTAAAGAGCAATGATGTATGCATTTTTTAATTTGGAGTAGTTTGTATACTGTTTCTTCATACAATTAATATTTCTTACATCAAAGCGACAAAATTGTGTTCTGTGCTGTACATTTGGTGTATGGTAGGAAATAAAATTGATAATGAAACATTGCAGCAAGTTTGTTGGTTATTTTAGCCTCTAGATGCAGACTTGTATTACACATTCTTAACTGCACCTGGCACTATACAATGTGTCAGATGTTTTACTTGCTTTGTGTACAAAACGTGTCATCCCTGTAAGTAAATTTCTGCTATCAGTAATTTAATTAGTGTTTTACTTTGTCAGTTTGAAGTAAGGAGAAAAGTGAAACTGCTTAAGAGATCCTTTTCATTTTTGAAGGAAAAAAAGAAAAAAAAATGAAAATAATCACTGCATTATTTATTGCATTCTTTTCTTGGCAGTTGTAGACATCATTTACACTGATAAAGTACAGGATTTGTGCTGACCTTTAACAGCTGCTAAATTATGTTTAAACATAAAAGCCATTGTAAAGTTTCCAGCAGTTTGGAACCACCCACGGTTCCAGTGCAATTTTCCCTGAGATTTGCAGTGTTTATACATTGCAGAAATAAAAATCTACTGCTTTTAGAAAGATGATACTTCCAGTATCTAATGGACTTTCTTTTTTTTGCACTGCTAGTTGTACTGAAAACAAGCTATTTTCATTTAGAATTCATGCTGTTGGCTTCAGGAACATTTCTGGTCTCAGATTCCAACTTCCCATGGATAGATCAAGAATAATTTTCTTCAGAAAATATGGCAAAATTAAAGCTGATAAAGTAGCTGGTCATTATGTATTTGAGTAGATGTTGCTAGATAAACCAAAATGGACTCTAGAAAAAATGGCCAGCATTAAAATATACCGGATCAAGAATAATTGTTCTATAACTATGCCTGTAAGAGGCAGGGAGGTGCTTACTTTGGTAAAAATAGATAAATGCCACTGGTTGAATTAACTGGAATGGAATTGAAGCTCCAAATATCCAAGAAAAGAAAGGGGAGTAAGTTCAGTCAATATATGCTTGTCCTATCAGCTCCAGAGGTCTATATCCTGTCTCTTAACTCCTCATAGCAAAGGTTTTTGAGACTATAGTGTCAAAATCAGATTCTGTTTTCTACTGCAATCGTATTTCCGTTTACTAATTGAACACCTCTTCTTTCCTGCTGGCTTATCATATCTATCTAGTTACTTCATGGCTTTTCCACTCAGAGATCCTTCATCCTACTCATATTGTACCCTTTTTTTTTTTTTTTTTAATGAGTTTCAGATTTCCTTGATTGGAATTTGTGTTATTGCAGTGATTCAGAATCAGGACAAAAGGCATATCCTTCCTCTCTTCTTGGGCAATTTATTCTAACTTCCTCAACATTTATCTCATAAAGTTTGCATTATGATTTGTGCAGCTGCATTTCTTGGATGTTTCTCGGAGATCTACAGCTGACAAAGTCCTTTGTTCATCTTGCTTGTGTTGCTGTGGGATGATAGATAAAGCTCCATGTAGCTACTGTGTAATGTAGGACAGTGACCCAGTTTCAGTACCTTTCAGTATCTCATTCTGGCTTGGTTTTCTTCTGTCTCTTTTGCTCTATTGAGTTTTAGACAGCCTAGCTCACACATAATTTCATAAACGATTAGCCTGATTTCCTGTCTGACTTCATGGTACAAATTGCTTCAATTGCATTTTTGTTCATAACAAACATCCCCACAGATATTGTCCAAATATTTCTCAGAAATTTTCAGCTATGGGATAACACTTGCTATTTAAATTCCTGTTTTTTCCCTCTGAAATTATTGCTACATGAGATTTTTCCAAACTAGATCAGTGATTTTGGTGCCCAGCTTCAGTTCTCTTTGAAGGGGCCACATTTTTAGAAGCTGGAGGCTCAGCTATTTTTGCCAAGCAGGGACTTTTCCAAATTCCCTTCTTATCCAGATTACACAGCATCCAAAAATTCTCAGCAGGTACCCATCCCCAGTATTGAAGAGTAAAATATCCCTTATGTTACACCAAGTCTAATTCTAATTCCTACCAAGCTCCTCTTTCAATGTCCATCCACAACATTTTTAAAGTTCTGAAGGAAAGCAGTAAGAAAAAACAAAGGACCAAATCTCATTCCGTATTTAACTGAAGATAGCATCTGTCCAAAACAGTTCCCCGTCATTGTTACTGAAGCTGGAGCTGTGGCTAAGAGTCCATGGCATGCAATCTTCTCTAATTACAATCATATGTACAATCTCTGTGCGCTCCTTGATTATTTCTGACACAGTAGTCAAAATCTGGATTAGGAACCAGATTCTACATTGATTTCAAATTTGTTGAAATGAAATTCATGTGATCCCTTAGAAGCAGGAAGAATTTAGTGAATTTAGTTACTTCAGGAGTAATTGCCCAGAACTGGGAAACGTTTTCTTTCTTTTTTTTTTTTTTTTCATCCTGATATCTGTTTAATGCATGTTAAAGAAGGAAAGAAGGTTTTAAAAAGCTCATGAAAATCTACTGGGAAAATGTGTGTAAATCAAATTCCTTCAGAGAAAAGCACAGCACTATCTCCTCAGGCTGAAAAGCCTAGCTCTTTGCACAGAAGTGCTGCATGTAGGACTTCTGTGCTGACTGCTGTGAGTGAAAGTCCTGTACATTCAGCAGTCAGACAAGGAAATGGCAGCTTGGGAAGCTATCCCTAGGGCTCAGCCTTTTGAGTAATATGGGCTCTGTTTGATGAAAGATATCTGCAACACCACACTGTATCTCAAATGTCTTGATTGCAGTCATTATAAATAACAAATCCGGTGGTTTTTCAGGACACTGAATGGTACCAGTGAAGTCATTCAAATCTGCTGCATCCAGGTAAGTTCCTGTGCTCATCAGAAGTGGCTCAGCATTGCACTCTGCAGGCTCAGAACAAATCCCCACATTTGCTTTAAAGCTCCACTTTATCACTACTTACACACA